TTCATAAAGATGAACAAACAATCAAACTTATATACATTTTATTGACTGGAATTTATCAACAGTAAATACCATGGTAAATGTTAGTGGCAATATTTTACAAAACACAAGAAAATGACCTTACGAGTAGGACCTATGTATTCAACGGTCAAGTTCATCACAGAATTGGAATAACACCTAACAGTCACTACGGTCAAGTTTATTTTTATGATTCAGAAGAGGCAAGTAATATACGCCGCCCAATAAGAGAAAATAAAAATCCTTATCCAAATCTAATGCAAGTTATCTAACCTATTTAAAAAATAGATCCATTTAAAAACATTGGGTCAGGTATCAAGAGAAAATCCACTTGAACAACGTGAGAATATGCGGATGCATGGCATATAATCTGACAGACAACAAAATAAAATACGATTGACCAGCTTCCAATGATCAGCTATATTCAAATCAGATTATAGCTGCCTAGTTAGTAACCCAGCGGTTGTGGTATACCTAAAAATGAAATGAAGCTCCTGAAATGGTTGATGGCACCCCACTGTTTATCCGATGGCCTACCATTTACTTTTCCCGTCTGGAGAAAAGAGTGCTGAAAGAAATAAAGTGACCCAAGAATTTGCTTCACGCAGATTTTCGGAAAGGCAACAATTAATTGTCTACAGTTCTTTATACTGTAAAAGCTTTGTTGCAATATACAAAAGGCGAATACGAATATACAGAAGGCAAAATACGAATTTTGCACTCAGACCTTCACTTTCACCCATATAAAATAGCAATCGTCCAACAACTTCAGCAAAATTTGTCGAATAGAGCGCTCAGACATGCCATGAGCAGCAGCTTGTCCACGCGCCGGGCAATGCGGGCTCGTTAGCACAGTTTGTCGCACTCGCTCCACGTTCTCCGGCGTCCTCACTGACCTTGGACGGCCTGTAGGCCTACGTTTTGCAGTTGATCCTGTGGATCTAAAGGTATCCGATTGTGTTTCGGGATGGGATAGGTTCCCCACGAGCCACATTAAAATGCCTACGAAACTTACGTTGCTATCAACAACAAAATCGCCATTTTTAAAATACGCCTCAACGACAAACGCGCGATGTATACCGGTCCACTGCTCTATGGCGACTAAAATTGTCACACTTGGCCTTGAGAATGAGCCGCTCCCCACCACCCTCCTCCACTTGGCTGCCGGACGGTACTCGCTTGAAAACCGTCAGATATTTCTGCCGCTCCCTGTATTACAGACATGTTCATTTGAATTTTAGGAGAATGAATGTTTAGGCATTCATTAGAAGTAATCAGTCAACAATGAGAACAGAAATGTGCGTAAACTTTCACGGCACAGATATATTTAAACTCAATTTCTATCCAGTTTTCAGATAACTATAATAATCTTCCTGCAATTTACTTGAATTCAAGCAGCAAGTTTTCCTCAACGTTGTGTTTTTTACTATGCGGCTCATTGAACCGCACGGGTTTCCTAGTTAATCATTAATACCCCAATGAGAATGACCAAGGAGACTTCGTACCCATTAATCCACTGTTTTTTTTTATCTGGATCGAATTGGTATGTAGTAAATACATATTTGGACCTTGTTAAAAATTATACCAATTTTTCTTAAGGCGTTGCATATTACTGATGATCAAACAGTTTTGTTATGTTAATGAATTATTCCAACGGAGATCAATTGTTAGCTAACCCCCCCCCCCCTCTTAAGATAGCAGCACCCTTCTAATTTAACCCTAGTCCACTAACAAATACGAAACCTAAAATGTCTGATTGTGTATGGCCACATGGTTCATTTCATGTAACCAGTAAAGGCGTAGTGCATTTTGAAAAAAAGCTGCAAGCCTCCGCCACTGGCCACATCTATATATCTAATTCCGTAAGCCCAAAATTTTACGATGAAATTTTAAGCGAATGGGAGGCCGTAAAGCTGGGAGAGGTCTCATTTTAAAGTTCTGGGCATGAAATTTTGGGGAAAATTATTCATTTTTCTTAATGCACCAAAAGGTTGTTACCTTACGGAATAAAATAATTCATACATTTAAATAGCATGGGAATCTAATTTTATGTATTTTTATTTAGTGTAAACACAACACACACAGCTATGATTAAATAAATTCTAAAAATTATAACCATACCTGAATGTGCATTATTTTGTTATTGTAAAATGCTTAGTAAAGTAGTAAGCAACACAAAGTGAAAATTAGAAAAAATATTTTGAACAAACAGTTTGATAGGCCTACTTTTAAACTTAATACTTTACAATGGATTGTTCTTTTGCACAGTAATAATGTATAATGTCGGAAGACCATCAAGCAGAGGTAGGCCACCACGCACAGGTATTGTTGGCACGATATTGGAAGAAGAATAAAATGATCATCAGATGAACATGAAGTTATTTCTGTGTATATATTACTACTGTACTTTTAAATGAGATAGCATTACACAGCGTAGGACCAATGAACGATGGGTGCATTCATTGTGGTGCATTGCGCAATTTGATTTGGTGAAATTGTGGCACAAGACCGAACCTTCACAAAAGTTGGCATTTATTTACTGTATTCGTATTTGAAAACCCCAGTGTTTACCCATGGTCATCTTTATGTTGCGTTCAGCCGGGTAAAGCGGCCAGATGGTGTTAAAATAGTACTAGAACCAAATAAAACCCAAGGAATCGACCAAAATGGATACTATACAACAAATGTTGGTTTCAGAGAGATTTTGTTATAGAATTAGCGTTTTACAATTTGGATTATGACATTAGGGCCTAATTATCTCTATGTGTTTTTCTAAGTGAATTTTTTTATATTAAAAGAAATCTATATAGATTTAATTAAAATAGTCATGAAGATTATTGTTGGAAAATGTACCTTAGTTGTATTAGAAACTTTATATTATAAACACACCACATATCCTGTGGAATTTCTATTTTGAACAGAGCAGACATCATAAATGCATTATGCAGGTATGAATTAACTATTATACATCATGTACTAATATTATAAATGTGAAAGTTTGTGTGTTTGTTTGTTTGTTTTTTTTGTTTGTTTGAAGTTCAATCATGCATTAACTACTGGTCGGATTGTGTTGAAATTTGGTATGATGATAGCTCACATTCCCAATTAACATATAGACATATTCTTACCTCAAAAATCCTTTCGGGCTCCGCCCCAGCGGCTCTAGAGTTCCCCATGTTAACCTTATGAGTATCTATATATTAATTTGAAACTGTTTTTCTTTGTCACAGCTATTTTGAGAGAACGGCTGGGCGTAGAAACTCGGTAGGGGTGTCTAAAGAAAGGTCTTGGTCTGTAGATGAGCCATCAAAAGAGAAACATGGTGAATTCTCTTGGGGCTCTGCCCCCGTGGCCTTTAAATTCCCATCCCATGTTATTCTTATGGAGGAAAACGGGGTGTTTGTCACAGATAATTTGAATGAACGGCTTGGCGTAGAAACTTGGTAGGGGTCTCTAAAGAAAGGTCTTGGTCTGTAGATGAGCCATCAAAAGAGGAAAGAGGTAAATACCTTTGGGGCTCTGCCCCAGAAGCCTTTAAAGTTGCCTCTTCAGATTTGTTTACATTACGACCATATGCATAGTTCTACACTACTTTCTAATGCAACAGCTGTTAATATTTAAATTGTGATTTACTGAATTTGTCAAAATGAAGTACAGTATTTGCAATGGATTTTTCTGATTTTAAAATTGATTTTCTTCTGCATCGTGTCATGTTTTGCAATATAATGTTCTATTACCAAATCAGTGGAAAATCCTAATATCACAGTAACTTTGGAAATTATTTCTTATGGAGTTAACTTAAATCTATTGTAAGTTATTGGTTGGTTTCTGCCGTTTTTACCACTTCTTGGAGATTGTGCGTAGGTGATATTCTTTGGCATATTGCATCTGTAGACGAAACTTGGGTTGGTGTAATTATTACAATGGAAGAGTGAGAAATCCTGGACAATTTGATATAGGATAAAAAATAAAACTAAATTAACACTGTGCTACATTTCTTGAGCAATCATTGAAATAACCGATTTGCAAACAATGGAAACATAGAAAAAGTCATAGAACACAACCAAGTAGAAGAAATAGAAATAATGTTTTTTTTTTACACTAAAAACACAAAAAAAACAAGATCAGCTTTTTGAAAAAGATAAGATATTTACAAAAGATTTTGAGTATATCTAATTGTTGTTGTATTTCCATAATCTTTGAGTCGCCTTTAATGCTTTGCAATTGCTCGAATTCGAGCAACAGGTACACTAGTTCATATTGAAAAGGAATTAAATAAGTTTTCCAGCTGTTTCAACTACACAATTTGTTTCTATGATATTCAATAGCATTAAATGGTTATACGGTTTACAACAGGGTGCAGCACCATTAATTCTTCATACATTTATGACAACAGCTAATTTGAACCAAGCAGCAACAAAAACCTGAGTGTGAGAACTTTACTTCTTTCTATTGTTTAGGTGAAGTGGTAGAACATTATGGCTATGTTCAATATACTATAGTATCCCGTAGATTATACTAACCCAAATTTTCTCAAAACGTGTCCTCTCTCATTGCAAATGCAAAGCACGAGTATTTAACTACATGCAATAAGCATTGTATACCAACCCCGTACGAAGGACGGGTACTCAGCTAGTATTATAATATACAAAAATGTTGAACAATAATTCAAGATAGCCATGAGGCAAATAATTTGTACAAAATAATTACTAGAATGTATATAGGGGCTGTTGCCCCAATAAGCCACTAGTTACAATACTGTTTATAATAAGTTTCTTGTTTCATTCTCAAAACTACATATCAGCATCTAATGTGCTAAGAGCCTAGGATTTAAACACAGTATGTTAGTATGTTACGAAACAAATAAACTTAAAAACACCCTTTAATGTTACAACAGAAGAGAAATAGGCTTTCAGTACGTATTTTCAGCCCTTTAATGTAATAAACAGATACTGATATTTTACAGTAGTTGTATCATGTTGCAGCAGATGATGTCTCCGGGTGGTAGTTACGCAGCATCACAGTATGACCAGAGTTACCACCAGACGCCAGTGTTCCCCAGCATGAGTGTGAATGTGAGCATGAACATGACCATGCACGGCTACCCTCCCACCATGACTGACAATCTGCAACACCAGATGACATGTCCTCAGGTGCGTCAGACATGAGCAAATTAAACTAAAGAGTTGAGAAAGGTGTATGTTAAGTCAATCTTGGAATCTGTAGTCAGTTGGTTAAAACTGGACTATTTAAAAACACTATAGCTATCACTAAGGTATCACTAACGTAATCTGTGGCACTATGGAGTGTCTGATGGAGTTTTCAAGCTAAAAAGTAAGTTTTTTTAGCAGGGCTTGGACCATAGTTTGAATATTCTATTCTGAGATTAGTTTTTCATTTTCCAATAAATATTTTTTACAATCATCATCCAATATTTTATATTATTTTACTATTTATGTCAATATGTGTCATAATATTTTCTTGTTTCATACAACTACTTTCGAATTGCCATTGGTTTTAATCTTTGGCCTTAATGACTTTCTGTCTATGTAATTTCAGATTGAAAATAGCTGCAACAGTAACAAGTATAACGTTGATTGGAATATCATAAAATCAAACAAACAAAACCTTAGAAATGAGCCTTCGCCCTTTACCTTGGATCAACATATTACACTATCTTAATATAATGGGGTTTGTTGAGTCAGTTCAGACTATAAAACACAACATAGACAACTCTAGTTTTATCAAATCATTTTATGAATGATATTCAGGCTGTTCAAGTAAAATTCAATTTCAGATCAGAAAATATACAAAATGTTTTAAATGCAGTTACAACATTTAAAAGCTCAAATTCTTTGGACTGTTACAGCTTCTCATATAATACTCTCAAGGAAATAACCCCTGATATTGTACACCCTTTAAAAATACCATTGCCAGGCCTCTCTGTTTGACCTGAGCAAGCATTTTATGGTGTGGACAGGACAGCCAGGATCTTGTAATGAAACTTGAACACTATAGCCTCAGGGCTATCCATTTTTTAGCGAATTCCCCTATAGGGAAGTAGCTATTACCATAGGTGGCATGGTAAGACCTAGGCCCGGGACCGATTTACTTTTTCATTTTTATGTCCCCAGAGGCCAAAAACATTATTTGTTCCAATTTGTATAAATGTATATATAGATTTATATATGTCCATGAACACGATAAGTTAAGAGTAATATTATTTGTCTGATTTTGATGAAATTTGGTTTAAAGGTGTAAGGCAAGATAAACTTGAATGAGTTTGTGAATCAGCATGATCGGAACATGGGAACGGGGTTTTACGTGGGAACAATTGGATTTTCTTATTATTGACCCTCAAAACTTAAAATTTCTCAATTTCTCTCGAGACCTTTTTAAAGAACTTAAAAAAAATAATAAATAATTTACCATACCAAAGTGTTTTTGTACAATAATTGGTAACGGAGAAAATTCAAAAAATTGTAAATTTAAAATTCCCATGTTATTTTTATAGAGAATATTGTAAAATGTTGTACAGTATTAGTTAGCTTGTAAATCGATATATTTTGATCGAACTTGGGAATTTTATTTATTTAATACTTATTAATATTTTACTAAAAGACACCGTTTATTAGTTTCCTTGTAGTAGCAAACCTAGGTAATCATTAAACCTAATGTTATTTGGATAGATAGAAAACCAATTCAGACAAATGGAAATTCGCTTAGTCAGCAGGTTTGCTGCAGCAGGGGTATTTGATCTTACCTCAGTAATCAAGACTTGGGAGTCAACAGACAGAAAAATAAAAAAAAATTTAAAAAATAATAGTGCTGCACCCTGTTGGTAAACCTATTAACTCTTTAATGCTAATGAACATCACAGAACTTGTTTAGTTGAAACAGCTGTTGAGATTCTTTAATTCCATTTAAATATGAGTACTCAAAAGGTTAACATGGGAAACTCCAGAGCCACTGGGGCGGAGCACGAAAGCCCGATCAGAATAATGATAAAAACTACTTAGTTTTCCTATTTAATGCCCAAAAAGAATCGGTGTACTTTCTACTTTTTTTTCTTTTCTTTTCTTCCTTTTCTTTCGGTGTAATTTCAGCCTCCTAGGTAAATGGGAAGTGGGAGACTTAGTGATGAGTGAGTGAGTCAGTGAGTCAGTGAGGGCTTTGCCTTTTATATATTTAGAAGATTCCCTCTCAAGATTTTTCTAAGGGATTGTATTTTGGTTTGTAAGCTTTTTATGGCCTTTAATTAGTTATTCTTGACTGTTGCTAATACATGTATCAATGGCAAGTACAGATTTATACGAAGAAGCCAAGTGTGACTTGTCTAAGACAATCGTATTGTAACATATCTTATATGTATTTATCATCTTGTGATGAATATAGTAGAAGTGTAGATATATGGAACAGTGTTGATTTAAAATGATTTATGAATTTTTTGTTGATTGATGAGTGTTGATGTACGGTTTATTAAATCTTTATAATTCAATTATTTTGAATTGCATATTTATCTATTTTAGCGAATTTCCCCTAAAGGGAATAAGCTATTACCGTAGTACTCATAGTAAGACCTGGCCCCGGAACCGATTTACTTTTTCGTCTTGAGGTCCCTAGAGACCAAAGTCCGTTCAAATTCATATATATATATATATATATATTTATATATGTGTCCGTTAGCGCGATACCTCGAGCAAAAATCATCCGATTTTGATGAAATTTGGTACAAACGTGTAAACCTACGTTTATTCGAATGATTTCGCGAACCAGCATGATCGGACTATGGGAACAGGGGTTTATAGGGGGTTTTATGGGGTAAAAATTGGTTTTCCCATTTTTGACCCTGAAAATTTAAAATTTAGTAATTTCTTTCCAAACCATTTTGTAGAGCTTGAAAAAAACAAATAATTTAGTATATTGAAGCGTTATTATGCGCCTAATTACTAAGGAGAAAATTAAAAAAAAACTGTAAATTTAAAATTCCCATGTTATTCTTATGGAGAATAATAAAACTGTTGTAGTTTGCTTCTTTATGGACATATTTTGATAAAATTTGGAAAATGCATTCATTTAATACTAAACTATTAACATTTTACAAAAAAAACTCCTTTTTACTCTCCCTGTTGCAGCAAACCTAAGTACTTGTTAAACTAATGCTATTACATCCTATAATCCTACTAATATTATAAATGAGAAAGTTTGGATGTATGGATGTATGGATGTATGGATGTATGTTTGTGACAAGTGAACGCGAAAAACACTGGTCGGATTGTGCTGAAATTTGGCATGATGATAGCTCACATTCCCGATTAACATATAGGCATATTCTTATTTCAAAAATCCTTTCGGGCTCCACCCCAGTGGCTCTGGAGTTTCCTATGTTAACCTTATGAGAAATGGAATTATTGAATCTTAACAGCTGTTTCAATTAAACAAGTTGGTTCTGTTCTATGATGTTCAATAGCATTAAAGTTACAAGGATTACCAACAGGGTGCAGCACTATTATTTCTTTTACATTTATTACAACAGCTAATTTGCAACCAAAAGGTGAGTGAGCGTAGCGAACGAACTTCAACCTGAAAGCGAGTTAGCGTAGCGAACGAGCTAACCTGAAGGCAAGTGAGCGCAGCGAACGAGCTCCAACCAAAAGGTGAGTGAGCGTAGCGAACAAACTTCAACCAGGACGTGATTGAGCCATGCGAACGAGATAATCTTGAAAATTAAGAAGTTAAACGGGGCAAAGCCCGCGGGTTACAGCTAGTAATATTATAAATGAGAAAGTTTGGATGTATGGATGGATGTATGGATGTATGTTTGTGACAAGTGAACGCGAAAAATATTGGTCGGATTGGGCTGAAATTTGGCATGATGATAGCTCACATGCCCGATTAACATATAGGCATTTTCTTATTTCAAAAATCCTTTCGGGCTCCGCCCCAGTGGCTCTGGAGTTTCCCATGTAAACCTTATGAGAAATGGAATTTTTGAATCTTAACAGCTGTTTTAGTTAAACAAGTTGGTTCTGTTCTATGATGTTCAATAGCATTAAAGTTACAAGGACTACCAACAGGGTGCAGCACTATTATTTCTTTTACATTTATGACAACAGCTAATTTGCAATCAAAAGGTGAGTGAGCGTAGCGAACGAACTTCAACCTGGAGGCGAGTTAGCGTAGCGAACGAGCTAACCTGAAGGCAAGTGAGCGCAGCGAACGAGCTCCAACCTAAAGGTGAGTGAGCGTAGCGAACAAACTTTCTACCAGGACGTGATTGAGCCATGCGAACGAGATAATCTTGAAAATTAAGAAGTTAAACGGGGCAAAGCCCGCGGGTTACAGCTAGTAGGGAATAAATTCAATTTTTAAGGAGACATTTAAGTGTAAATCCAATCAGGCAAATGGGAATTTGCTTAGTCTGCAGGTTTGCTGCGGCGGGGGTATTTATTTAGAGTATATAAGGGTTCCACAAGAACAGTTCATGAACAATTATTTTCCTTTTAGATGCAGTGGTCAGCTACCGCTCCCTCTAATCTGTCCCCAGTTTACCAGAGCCAAGGACTATTGAGTCCTCAAGCTGCTTACCCCGGTGGTGCCACCTACTCCTTCACTGCAGACTTCCGACCACCGCCAACCGATCAGTCATTTCTCTGTGCCTCAACGCCATCTTCTTTCAAACCTGTGCTCAATAAATCTGTACATTTTCCACCTGCTGGTGCCTGTCTTAGATCTGCTAAGAGACCTCCGTCTAGTTTAGGAAAGGTAATGAGCATTACATGACAGGCTACCCTTAAAAAAAGTATATATTTAGTGGTGACCAAATTCAAAATCATGAACAACATTATTCCAACTATCCTCGATTTAACAATTAAATCGCCTCCCCCTTTGGAGCATTTAGAGCATTTCAAACCCGAACTGTGAACAGCTAATTTATCATAAGTATGCTATTAAAATAAGTATTAAGTATTAAGCTGTTCCAATGTTTAATACTGGGTGGAATAAATTTAACCCAAGAAACAGGTCATAACTGAAAATTCATTAACAAATACAATGTTGTGCAATACAATACAAACATACAAAACTTCCTAGATATGGACAGACGGATTTATTACTCACCCAATCCCATATTTTAGTAAGTATTTTTTTGCTTATCTTGGAGGCCCTCTTGGGCCAGGGGGCGGGCCTTATCTCACTCAAAGAATACTGTCAGAACCCTTATTTCTGATCTCCTTAAGTGTTTTACATTTTTCTTGTAGAAGTAGTGGATGTGTTCTATTCTAAAATGAAAAAAAAATTAAATATAATTTAAAAGAATTTGCAAATGATTGGATGACATTTAGTGAGTCTTTAGTAATGTTGAACTAATTAGTTATTGAATGATGATTTGTGACCAGGTTCCTCCATCAATGGGCTCTCTGGAAAATGATTCGTCACGGCCCAACCTCTGTCGCATCTGTGGCAAGACATATGCCCGACCTAGCACACTCAAGACTCATCTCCGAACACACTCAGGAGAAAAGCCCTACAGGTACACCACCATGACTACAACTATATATAGTATCTTGCCATAGATGAAGTGATTTCATCTCCTCATCAATGTTCTATGCTTTTACTCGACTGAGCACATTGTATATTTATATGAAAAAGTAGATATTGGTGACATTAAGCTGTCAAAGGCATTAGAACTACAAAGGACTAGCAACCAAAAATCGTCCTTGTTTGCTGTCTGTCACCCACCTAGATCTAACCGGAATACAGCTTCCTGCTCCACAGCACATTAATCATAAGTATTTTAATATTAGTAGTTAAATTATCAGGTGAACCTAATAGTAATTATGAAATAGTTTAATCTTTAGTTAGGGGTTGCCGGGTATATACCAGGGACTTTAGGATATAATTTTCCAATTTAAAATGTCGGTTTCTCCTGAAGAGGAACCGGCATTCAGATTCAGCTTGTTGAAACAGTCACAAATTCACATAGTTCTAAATTGTTCAATTATTCTCTGCTGTCAATCAGAGTAATTTATTCCCAAATTACTTTACTTCCATCAGGTTTCTTATTCCACAGTTAGTTCATTAGTAGGTTATTCATGTCAACGCAATTCCTTGCATTTTCAGTCAGGTAGTGGTTTAGTTATAAGATTTTCATGTAATAAATTAGTAAATCACAGCTCATTAAAAGCTGGCTTAGGGTGTTTACGGCAATGAGCACGATCAACCTCAGGGTAAAATCTTTCCTTTAAAATAGACAGTTACAGCCCTTCCTAATTCCTCAACCTTATAGTTAATTTATTATATACTAGCACTAGCAGAGTACCCGTCTACGTCCGGGGTTGATGTATGTTTAAATAGTGCTTTTTGAAATCTTAAATGAAAAACAGTGTAAAATAAGATTCAATTCCAATAAATGTACCTATCAAAAACTGTTAACTTACTAATTACATAAAACAACTTTTTCAAACAATAAAACAAATAAAAAACTCAAAGCTTTTAAATGATAAAATCAAACATAGACAAACAATAATTTATAACATCTGGTTAATATTACGGTTTGAATGAAAAGAAACATATGTGATCTTGCTTCTAAAAAGCATTGCTCACTTAACATTGATTATAAAAATATCTCATTATATACGATGTGAACAAACAAAAACTGACACTCTTGACTCTTACTACTAAAACAAACAGAAATCAAGGGCGGTCCCGGGGGGGGGGGGGTCAGGGGGGTCATGACCCCCCCAAAATATTTTTTTTTTATATAAACTATTATACCAGGGGAACTTTAATAATTTGTATTGCAAATCGTTCTGCCAAATTGAAATTCATTGTAGTCTTTACAGTTGTGGCGAATGAAAGGTCTAATTACAAACTCTAACCTAAAACTCATCGTTCGAGTCTGACTGTTTTTTTGTACTTTATGAAAAGTACCTAGGGAAGATCGGCAGACGACGAACGCTTTTTCAGCCATATACAGCAACGGCAGTGTCCGATGCTGACATTCGACGTTCGACCGCATTCTTCTTCTTATTTAATTTTTTGGCATTTAATGTTATCATTCATTTTAAACTAGATGATTGAAAACTTGAATTGGGTTTGGGTATTGGATAAAGAAAATAAGTTGTATCAATAGTCAAAGCTTGAAAGGTAGTTGAATATTAATTTATCTGAGTTGAGCGTTAGGAATTTGTAATTACAGCAATGTTCAATGATTACCGTAGCAAATTTCAAAACTTTCAATATTAAATAGTATTCATATTTAGAGCACCTGATATCATATTTAAGAATAACACAACCCAATTGGCATGTTGCTAGTCATAAAACAACAACAAAATGGTAGTGTCTCAGACTTAGATGTGGAAGGGACAGATTTAATTTCCAGCACAACCACCAAAATCGTTGCACAAAAACTTTATTCTCACGTTGACCCCTGTAAAATGAAACTGGCACTGGCGTAGAAAAAATTAGAACACTGAGAACCAATTCTCCAGGCGGTAGCAGTGACGGGACACCGACGGCAACGTTAGTTGGGTAGTTTACTTTGTGTACTACTTTGTGTATTGGGTATAATGCAGTCGTTTTGGGTCCAAGCTCTTAAACACTTCTTAGATAAAATAAGTTCTCTGGTTCGAAATCTTGGTCTGATTTTGGACATTTTCCGTTTAGCATGCACATTGGCACCAGTTGAAAGCATGGTGGAAGGAAAATACATCCACCATGAGTTGAAAGGGTGTTTTCGTAAATCAATAATGCTTGAATGTATTGTAATGTTGCGGTATTCCTTTGATATTAAAACCCCAAGTCTCAATAATACAAAAACATGACATTATACAAGTTTATTTTTAAACATTTCTCTGACCTTTAAATAAACTGGGAAGCTTGAACACAGTAAACTAGGCCCACAAAATAGCTTCAAAACCACTCGTTTTAGCACGTTATTTCCAAATTTTCCCCCGGGGGGGAACCCCCAGTACCCCCCCCCCCTAAATATATGTCTAGGACCGCCCTTGACAGAAATATACCTAGCCCTACTATTTATAACTCCTACTATTCATGCATCAAAGGCGCATATACAACTTAGTTTTTTTATTGTTGTTTTTAAATTGAAATATTTGTATATTAGCTTAGAATTAGTTTAAGTTTACATTTGGAGTAACTAAAAGACAGAATCAAAATGAGCTAAATACAAAATACCTTATATTAAAAATCTTTCATTCAGGATTAAAAAAATGTCCCTCTATACATTATTAACACTTGACACTTCCACCAAATTTGAAAATCAAGAATTGAACACTAATTAGGAATAATATGTCAGGACAAATATTAATGATCTAATTATGGGTAAACAATAGTTAATACAAACCTAGAAGAACCTGGTGTGCTGCAAGTTAAATGTTAACAAAAAAAGGCGGTTTTCTTCAAAGATAATCCCTATCAGGACCAGTTTTGTTTCATTGTCGGGATAAATCTGAACAATGCAATCAGTTTTGTGGTGCTGTTTTTCTGGATCACATATAGTAAAACGTTTACAATACCTTTTTCAGTCTTATGATCCTGAAAGGATTAACTCGCCTAGTAATCAGAAGGCTGCTGGTTACCTGGTTTGATCCTGAGAGAAGTTAGTAGCTTCATAATGGTTAAATACCCCCGTCGCAGCAAACCTGCATACTAAGCGAATTTCCATTTACCCGGCTTGATTTCTACTAAAATATTCCCTATAAATTTTCAGATTTATTTCCTATTTAAATAACATTAATTTTAGTGAGTAGTTAGGTTTGCTGCTACGGGGAAGATGGTGAGGTGTGTTTTTTCAATTGAAATATTGATAGCTTAGTATGAAATAAACCAAATTGCCAAATTTGATTAAAATATATCCATAAACAAGCAAACTAGATCAGTTTATTTATTCTCCATAAGAAATTTAAATTTACAATTTTTTTAATTTTCTCCGTAGTCAATGAACATTCAAAAACACTTCAATATACTAAATTATTTGTTTTTTTAAGCTCTTCAAAATGGTCTAGAGATAAATTTAGAAATTTAAAGTTTTTATGGTCAAAAATGAGAAAAACCCATTTTTACCCCATAAAACCCCCCATAAACCCCTGATCCCATTGTCCGATTATGCTGGTTCGCGAACTCATTCAAATAAATGTAGGTTTACACGTTTGTACCAAATTTCATCAAAATCGGATGAATTTTGCTCGAGTTATCGCGCTAACGGACACATATATAAATATATATATATATGAATTTGAACGGATGGTGTTTTTGGCCTCTGGGGACCTCAAAACGAATAAGTAAATCGGTCCCGGGTCTAGGTCTTACCATGAGACCTACGGTAATAGCTTATTCCCTATATGGGAAATTCGCTAAAACTGGGCCCTGCTTCTTTAATCAATGATCCTGATAAATGAATCAGCTGGTCTTAGACAATAACCAAGGTACTCACTTCTAACCATCAGACTCCATTCTATACTCTTACCTTGCCTGGTATTCAGCTTAGAATACGCACCCTATTGTGTGACACCGTCACAAATTGATGAATGAATAACAGGATCAAAAGGTGCTGAGTAAGGTGTTGTAACCTTTGTATTAATTATCTCAGGAATAAGAGGAATTGGAAATGAATTACTGTTGTATCAAAGACATTTTGGATATTATCAGTGTTTTGTCAAGGTGTGACGACTGTAACAAGTCATTCAGCCAAGCCGCCAACCTGACAGCTCATGTCCGCACTCACTCTGGAGAGAAACCCTTCCGCTGCCCCATCTGTGCGAGAAGGTAAACATTCAGACACGCTTGTCTTCTAAATAAATTAGTCTGCTTGGTTTTGTATTTAACAAGAACACCAGGGGTAAATAATTTAATAATTTTATTTAGTTACTAGCAGAGTACCTACCCGTCCTTCGAATGGGATTGGCATATAAGTATTGCTTATTGCATTTATACTCAAGCTTTGCGTTTACAATGGGGGAGGACACAGTTTAATAAAATTTGCTTCTTTAAATTTACGGTATTCTATAGTATTACACATCTACCATAGCCATAATGTTCTACCATTTCAGCTAAAATTAGAGGAAGATAAATTATCAATGATTCGCAAAATATCACAAATTATTCATGAAATTAAAAACATAATAAACATAAGTGAAACAATCCAACTTTGACAGTTCTCATTGGGCTTCACGGTTTTATGTTGCTGCTTGGTTCAAATTAGCTGTTTTCATAAATAAAAAAATAATACTGCTGCACCCTGTTGATAAATCTTATAACTTTTAATGCTTTTGTATATCATAGAACCAACTTTTTTAGTTGAAACAGCTGAGAGTCCAATCTTTTGAAGTCATCAAAAATTATGACTGTGTTATTTGTTTTAAAATAACACCTGTAATACTTAGCAATTGCTCGATTTCGAGCAACACAGGGATACTAGTTATTAAATGTTTTTATTAGCTCGCTTTCTTGTCCGGTACAAATTTTGCAATAAATTTTATACTAACTTCCCGATGAGCTAGAGACTTGAAACTTGAGACATAGCACACAAATGGATAACAATGCAATATTATATCATTTAATTTTCATATTTCCCTTGGGCTACGCCCCATGGGCTTGTTTTTATTAGCTCACTTTCCTACAAATTTTGATATCAATTTTAAACGAAGTTCCCGATGAGCTAGAGACTTGAAATTTGAAACATAGCTCACAAGTGGATGACAATGCAATATTATAGCATTTAATTTTCATATTTCCTTTGGGCTACGCCCCACTGGCTTCCAAATTTTTCATGTTTACATTTTGAAAGAATGTAAATATATCAATTAATTAAAGTCAGCTGTAAATACTTAAATCTTACCAAGAGATTCTTTATACAAACAAACATTTCAAAATAAATATAAACAATCTGATTGCAGATATAAAGATGTTTGTTAATAATGTCGTTTGTTATTTATTTAATATTCTATAAAGTAAACAATAAAAGATTGATATATTTATAGTTAGTAGGTAGGCCACATTCAATCTAATACATAATTATATGAAAAGAAACTCAAATAAACCTTAGATTTCCCACATGCCTCTGTCCTAATCTGATATAGATGCATGAAATAGATTTAACATCCACACACATTAAAAACTAAAAAGTAGAAAATAATTTATAAATAAAAAACTTTTTTAAAACAAAACGTTTTTAAATGCACTAAAAAGTAGAAAATAATTTATAAATATGTGGAGAGTATAAATACTTGTAAGATTTAAAACAAAAAACGTGGGGTGCATGCAATTGATAATAATACATTAGTTCAATAGGTGAAGGTAATTGTAAATTATCTATTGCATGCACCCCACGTTTTTAGTTTTAAATTTATACTCTCCACATATTACTCTCCACATATTTAAAAATTATTTTCTACTTTTTAGTGCATTTAAAAACGTTTTGTTTTAAAAAAGTTTTTTATTTATAAATTATTTTTAAATGTGAATACTCATAAGGTTAATATGGGGAACTACAGAGCCACTGGGGCGGTGCCCAAAAGGATTTTTGAGATAAGAATATGCCTATATGTTAATCGGGAATGTGAGCTATCATCATGCCAAATTTCAGCCCAATCTGTCCATGGTAGTTAATTAGTGATTGAACTTCAAACAAACAAACACACAATAACTTTTACATCTATAATATTAGTAAGATAACATTCACATGAGACTACTGTTAATGTCACTATCTGACTCTAATCTTTTCTTACACAATTATAATCCATATCCATCTTACCATTGGCACTATTGACAAGTATTTTAGAAATCAGAAATTGTAAATAAAAAAGTAATATAAAATACTCCCGCCGCAGCACACCTGCAGACTGCTAAGCAAATTTCCATTTGCCTGATTTAAAATTTTCACTTAAATTTATTTATGTAACATTAGGTTTAATGAGTACCTTGGTTTGCTGCTACAGAGAGGGTAATAAAGTGCTCTTTTGTAAAATATTAACAGCTTGGTATAAAATACAAAAATTTGCAAAGTTTGATTAAAATATATTCATAAACGAGAAAACTACAACAATTTATTTATTCTCCATATGAATAACATGGCAGGTAATTTTAAATTTACATTTTTTTTTATTTTCTCCATAAAAATTCCTCAATAATTTTATTTTTATGCTCTACAAAATGGTTTGGAAATAATTTGCAAAATATTATGTTTTGAGGGTCAAAAATGGGAAAACCCAATTTTTACCCCTTAAAACCCCGTTCCCATGGTACGGTCATGATGGTCCACGAACTCATTCAAGTTTATACTTTTATTAGTTTTATTGTTGTACTCAAGAACATATTGACTATGGAAAGCAAGGGAAAATGAGGGATGGTCATGGATGAACATGAGCAGAGCTCCTGGTAGTTTCTTATTCCTATAACATATCCTGGGGATCTGGCTTGTTCAATATAATGCTGATCAATATATAATACTAAACACTCAAAATATTATAAGAAACACTATAACATTACCTACATAGTAAAACTACTAAACTACAGCTAAGAAGGTTTTAAATGAGTTTAACAAACTTTTTATGTAAATTATTTTGTAGTTGATTATTAAAATGATTGCTACATAATAATCAGATCAAATGATAGTAAATAACAGCATTCATTAAATGTTGTAGGTTCTCACAATCATCGTCAGTGACAACACACATGCGGACACACTCGGGTGAGCGGCCGTACCGCTGCAGACTCTGCAAGAAGGCATTCTCCGACTCCTCCACACTCACCAAGCACCTCAGGATACACTCCGGGGAGAAACCTTACCAGTGCAAGCTTTGTCTGCTGCGGTTCAGTCAGAGTGGCAACCTCAACAGACACATGCGCGTGCACGGCAGCGCAGCCGGAGGACTGTTACTGCCTGCGTGACAGTGCAAACCTGCCTGGCTGTCACACCTCAACTGTTGGTGCCAGAACTGACAATAGCAGTAGAAACTAGAAACCACCACATCACTGAATGATCCCCAAAAGTCGATTGTTGTGTAATACATTGCTATTTTAAATATTTATTACTTTGTGAGGTGTTCTAAGCCACCAAAAGCTAAATAACACTATGTATATGAGTCAAACAGGTTAATAATGTTAACTATAAGATTATGGATGAGAAATGTTTGTAAAATGATATTATGTAATATATTATTCCCTTTAATTCAGTGGAACATTTGAATTAAAAATGTGGTTCTGCTCTTAAAACAATCATGGAACGATTATTAATTTTACATTTTATATGAAAGTTACAGTAGGTACCTCTTTTTTTTCTCAACCAATCTCATTGACCATCATGTATACTATTCCTCACCTGGAAACTTTGGTGTCAAAACCTAACATGTACCTAGTAGAAAAAAGTCTCATTACAGTTTTATTGGGAACTTATTTACAATATCTATAACTGAGCCTGATGGAAACTTTGGCGCCAAAACCGACCATGTGGTGAATGTCATATTCAACAGTTAGTCTGTTGGGGATGGCTGAGTTTTCTTACAATTTTCTAACAAAGAGCTATCAAGGTGCTATGAATTGTTTTTATCATTTTAAGTAAGTTTGTTTTAAAACCACGCTAATATAAATCAGCTCATACTTGCATGAAATATACGAGGGGTGTTCAATAAAGACTGACAGTACTATTTCAATACCTTTAGTATAAAAGTTTAGACTTAAACACTTGTATCTCATTCTAAGTAGTTGTCATTCAAAGCCACACACTTGTTCCGGCATCTTTGCCACTCCTTGAAGACATATTCAAAGCCATCCTTAGACAGAACCTTCAAAATAGCCTCCAAAGTCTTAACAGCGGCAGTAGCAATTGGAAAAAAACACTGGCCTTTGAGCTCCTTTTTGACCTGAAGGTACAGACTCAAGTCATTTGGAGCCAAATCAGGGCTGTAGGGTGGGTGTAACACAGTTTTGATTCCTTTTTTGGCAAGAAACTGAAGCACAGTATTGGCAACATGGGAGCGAGCATTCTCTTGTTACAGTTTCTAGCGTCTGACGAGGTCTGTCCACTTTTTTGGGATGTGGTCTTGGATTATTTGTTTCAATACTAAAATGTAGTACTAACTCGTAATTCGTCTGACCCTGTGGTACAGTATGGGTATACACCATACTACGATAATCAAAGAACGTAATCATCATTGATTGCTTTTTGGCGTCAATCCAACTTCCAAGTCACATGATTCCCGTCCATTTTTAGCAAATTTCCCTATAGGGAAGTAGCTATTACCGTAGGTGGCACGGTAATACCTAGGCCCGGGACCGATTTACTTTTTCATTTTGATGTTCCCAGAGGCCAAAAACACCATTTGGTTAAAATTTGTTTACATGAATATATATATATATACGCGGTGACAAAAAGGCTGGAAACGGCTTAATATCTTTTTATTTAGAACCTTTAAAAAAACTCAAACCTTTCACATCAACTTATATGTTTAAAAATTACTTTTTTAGGCATTACCATCTTTTGATCTCTACCAGGGGGATGACCCATGAGGTCCATAATCTTTAATGTAAGCATAGGTTGATATGCATATCATTTTACAAGGCTTGTCAAGTAGAGTTCATTGCCGGAAACCACTTCTCAAAAAGGTTAATCTGTTACAAAATGGCGGTTGTCCAAAGTTCTTGTGAAAAATACCTGTGGAAATTAAAAAATCAATTCAGACAAATGGAAATTCGCTTAGACAGCAGGTTTGCTGCGACGAGGATATATTTAAGTCTTTGTGCCACCTGAAACCGGTTCTTTCACTCATTTTATCCCCACCAAAAGCTTTTTTTCAAGTAGCTGTAAGTATCCCTAGCATTTTCCTCAGTTTTACGGTTTTACACAAAACTTTATTCCATATCTTTGCTCACAAAAATCAGCCATAATAAACTTTAGAGGCAAAAATGTACAACTGTTTATTAATCGGTTGCCACGACAACAATAAGTATGCTACAATGTTAACAGCTGATTTGATTGTTGCTAATACTTCAATGTTTAATACCAACTTGAAAAAAAAATAATGATCGTACTTTGTTTGTTTGCATGTTCGCTGCTGTCCGTATTTATTGCACACCCCTCGTAGTTTTGTTTCATGCTACATAGAAAAAAATTTAATATGTGTACAATTAAATGTTAAATATATAAAAAAAAAACTGTAACAGTTATACAAGAATTAAAAAAAAAAACATTAAAAATATCACTACTGATTGCATAAGTGAAGTTCCTTATGAGTTTGGTAAGGAGGTCCATGAAATGTGAGTGAATAATCATTAAAAGTCCAACTCTTTGAAATTAGACTGATCAAACTTTTATGTAGTAATGTAAACACAAAATACTCAGCCGAATATGTTTTATGGAATTGCAATTTTATTTTTTACAATAGTGTGACAAAAAATACTCAATTATGTAGTGTGTATCCAGGAGGGGGGTTAGGGGTTTGAACCTCCAGCCCTTGACCTGGGGTACAAACATTGTACATCTTAAAACGTGATTTTTTTCCAGTTAAAATTTTTTCCTACAACCAAAAAATTACTTTTATATGTCATCTAAATTGTGTAAAACGCGAGTTTATAGGTCTAATTTTCAACAATTTTCTGGGAGAGACGGTCCCCTGACCCCCCTCCCCCCCCCCCGGTGTTCCCCCTCTTAGGCCCCTTTATGCACCTGCTGCAATTCTATAAGTAAATTGCATCAAATGGGGTACTTTTATACAATGCTCTATAATTGCGGCCCGCAAGTCCAGTGCAGCGGACCTAGCAGCTTTTTTGCAGCTGTAGGTACATTGGTTCTTATGGGAGCTTTTATGCACTGCGGCACGGACCGTATTCTGTCAGTGCTACCAGTGGTATAAAACTTGCGGCTGCGATAAAAACCGCAGCCGCAGTGCATTAAAGGGGCCTTAGGGTCATCCTAGTTACGCCTATATGTAGTGATATAATTTTTTATAATCAAAGGAGTCATTAGTACCTACCTACCAAATAAATCAGGTAACAAAATATTTTTTTTATTATTTTCATTTTGAAGTATTGAGCTAAAATTTCATAATCACAAGTCAAATAGGTAATAGTGTAGTTGGTGATGAATATTACTTAGGTGTATACTGTAACAAGAGATATCTTAGTTTTCAACTTCAATGTGCCTTGCTAATATACATGTTTCCTAATTTAAATATATTTCACAAAAGTGAGGAAGATAGATTGTTTACAAATGATAACTTATAACTGCCAGGAAAAAACTCTATGACCTTTGAAAATAAAACAACAAGTTATGTAGCTGTAAACAATGTTTCTTGTAACTAATATTAGATTTGAATCAATCACGCATTTGTTGTTAAATGAATGTTTATGTCAAAACTAAAGCCCCCATCAACTCCTATCTTCAGGCTGAAACTCTATTTTGGAAAGTATTCTCTTAAGATATTAAGAATTTTTTAGCTTCCATGGAATTTGTATAGCTCGCCGACTATCTTGGACTTTCTGCCCATAACGGCAATGTTAATAGTTGAACCATATTACTATACGAAATTGTTTATTAAAATAATAAGTTTTAAAATATCTCAATTTAAAGCTATTGAAACCGCAAATAACATTTGCTATCTACATTTTAATTGTTTTTTTTTTCTCAAACTACATAAATATATTGACTTAAACTATGATTTTTTTCAACCTCTAAAACAAAAGATTTAAAAGTCCAAAAAGCAATTCAGACAAAAAATAAATTTAATGTAAGACTAAATTACTTACGTAATTCCCGTCACAGCTCAATAAAATATGTCTATTCAGGACATGTTTCGGTGTTAAAACACCATAGTCAGCTTCAGGTATATAGTGTAGAGTTGATCAGTTGTTAACATCGTCAGAAGATAAACACAGTACGGACACGAATAAATACATAAAACAATTAAACATTTAAAAAACAGGCCTGTTCTAACAAAGATGACCGACCGCACAGGTAGCAAGGGACAGAGTAGTCTTACATTATGTCCAACAGCTCAGGGGCTACACACATGGATTTAAAAATAAATTTAAAATCACATAACATTTTTTGCTCGGTAATCAAGCATATAGTACATGATTACTGTAATAGGCTTCAACGTGATCGTATGTTTTTGCTGATCACTAAGACAAAATAATAATGTAATTTGACAAAATAATAACAATTAAAATTAAAAAGTAGATAGCAAATCCAATCTGCGGTTTCAATAGCTTTAAAATTAGATATTTTGTAACTTTTTATCAGATTAAACAATGTTGTAATATGCTTCAATCATTAACATTGCCATTATGGGCAGAAAATACAAAACAGCTGGCGGTCTTACCGACTAAAGAAAAAATGCATTGATTTATTTTATCTATTTATTGAGAAACACTGTGTTATAAGCTCATGGCATTAATTAAGAGAAATTAACCTTATTTCTATAGTGATTAGGTAGTATATTTTAAGAAATTATTTTTTGTATCATTGTAAATAATGTTATTTCAAAATAATTATTTAGTGATAATTATTTAAGAAATTATGAACCAAAGATTAAATGTAACTTATGTCAATGTAGATGTTCTAGTCATTTTATGTAAGGAATCGTTTGTGTTTCTGTGATAGGTAATTTTTTACAGATTAAAATAATAAAACCAATTTTAAATCAATTGGTTTATAGTTTACTTTGAACACCTGCTTCTTATAATACTTGAATACTTGAATACTTGAAGGCTTCGTCTCTGACCGGGATTCCGGATGGACTGCGTCAAATTTATTTTAAAAAGTAAACTGAGATGGCGGCGAGTTAAAAAAGTGGCACGTCATCTAATTCTTTAAATGTGTAAATAGGCCTATTTTTAAGTTTTTCCTTCACTGAGGTTTTAAACCCAGCCACATCCATACTTCTGACTTCTTCAGGCATACTATTGTAGAGTTTAATTGCGGTCACTGGGAAGCTATTCAGGGATTTGGACAGTCTGCATTGAGGGGTGTCGAGGTTTCTAGCGTTCCTGGTGTTATGCTGATGTATATCTTGTCTTCTTCCATACTTAGAGATGTTCTGGAGTACGTGTATCAGACAATTGAGGACATATTGTCCATAAACAGTCAGGATGCCGAGGCGTTGAAAGATAGGCCTATGAGTAAAATCTTTGCCTGTTATTTCAGTAGAGGTTATCACTCTCAACGCCTCCTTTTGGAGTATCAACAATCTACTGCATGCGGGAGCGTGACCCCAAAGGACCATACAAGACCACCATACAACCATACAAGATATGGCTGTGGAAAAGCGAGAAATAAACAGTAACAAGGTACTGCTCAGTGACCACATGACGTAGCTTTCTGAGGAGGAAGATCACTCGAGACAATTTGGTGCAGATCTGGTAGTGTTGCATTACACTTGCAAGTGACCACGGCGGTATGCTGTGCTGTCCCGATGGCCTTAAGGTTTCTCACTTCCCACACTGCCCCAGCGTGAGGCTCGTCCACCAGCTGACAGTCACTGAGCCTCAGTCTCATGGTAGTGTAGAAGTAGAAGGTAGTGTTGTATTACACTTGCAAGTGAACACGGCGGTATGCTGTGCTGTCCCGATGGCCTTAAGGTTTCTCACTTCCCACACTGCCCCAGCGTGAGGCTCGTCCACCAGCTGACTGTCACTGAGCCTCAGTCTCATGGTAGTGTAGAAGTAGAAGGTAGTGTTGCATTACACTTGCAAGTGACCACGGCGGTATGCTGTGCTGTCCCGATGGCCTTAAGGTTTCTCACTTCCCACACTACCCCAGCGTGAGGCTCGTCCACCAGCTGACTGTCACTGAGCCTCAGTCTCATGGTAGTGTAGAAGTAGAAGGTAGTGTTGTATTACACTTGCAAGTGACCACGGCGGTATGCTGTGCTGTCCCGATGGCCTTAAGGTTTCTCACTTCCCACACTGCCCCAGCGTGAGGCTCGTCCACCAGCTGACTGTCACTGAGCCTCAGTCTCATGGTAGTGTAGAAGTAGAAGGTAGTGTTGTATTACACTTGCAAGTGAACACGGCGGTATGCTGTGCTGTCCCGATGGCCTTAAGGTTTCTCACTTCCCACACTGCCCCAGCGTGAGGCTCGTCCACCAGCTGACTGTCACTGAGCCTCAGTCTCATGGTAGTGTAGAAGTAGAAGGTAGTGTTGTATTACACTTGCAAGTGAACACAGCGGTATGCTGTGCTGTCCCGATGGCCTTAAGGTTTCTCACTTCCCACACTGCCCCAGCGTGAGGCTCGTCCACCAGCTGACTGTCACTGAGCCCCAGTCTCATGGTAGTGTAGAAGTAGAAGGTAGTGTTGCATTACACTTGCAAGTGAACACGGCGGTATGCTGTGCTGTCCCGATGGCCTTAAGGTTTCTCACTTCCCACACTGCCCCAGCGTGAGGCTCGTCCACCAGCTGACTGTCACTGAGCCTCAGTCTCATGGTAGTGTAGAAGTAGAAGGTAGTGTTGCATTACACTTGCAAGTGAACACGGCGGTATGCTGTGCTGTCCCGATGGCCTTAAGGTTTCTCACTTCCCACACTGCCCCAGCGTGAGGCTCGTCCACCAGCTGACTGTCACTGAGCCCCAGTCTCATGGTAGTGTAGAAGTAGAAGGTAGTGTTGCATTACACTTGCAAGTGACCACGGCGGTATGATGTGCTGTCCCGATGGCCTTAAGGTTTCTCACTTCCCACACTGCCCCAGCGTGAGGCTCGTCCACCAGCTGACTGTCACTGAGCCTCAGTCTCATGGTAGTGTAGAAGTAGAAGGTAGTGTTGCATTACACTTGCAAGTGAACACGGCGGGATGCGGTGCTGTCCCGATGGCCTTAAGGTTTCTCACTTCCCACACTGCCCCAGCGTGAGGCTCGTCCACCAGCTGACTGTCACTGAGCCTCAGTCTCATGGTAGTGTAGAAGTAGAAGGTAGTGTTGTATTACACTTGCAAGTGAACACGGCGGTATGCTGTGCTGTCCCAATGGCCTTAAGGTTTCTCACTTCCCACACTGCCCCAGCGTGAGGCTCGTCCACCAGCTGACTGTCACTGAGCCTCAGTCTCATGGTAGTGTAGAAGTAGAAGGTAGTGTTGCATTACACTTGCAAGTGACCACGGCGGTATGCTGTGCTGTCCCGATGGCCTTAAGGTTTCTCACTTCCCACACTGCCCCAGCGTGAGGCTCGTCCACCAGCTGACTGTCACTGAGCCTCAGTCTCATGGTAGTGTAGAAGTAGAAGGTAGTGTTGTATTACACTTGCAAGTGAACACGGTGGTATGATGTGCTGTCCCCATGGCATTGAGGTTGGTCACTTCCCACACTGCCCCAGCGTGAGGCTCGTCCACCAGCTGACTGTCACTGAGCCTCAGTCTCATGGTAGTGTAGAAGTAGAAGGTAGTGTTGCATTACACTTGCAAGTGACCACGGCGGTATGCTGTGCTGTCCCGATGGCCTTAAGGTTTCTCACTTCCCACACTGCCCCAACGTGAGGCTCGTCCACCAGCTGACTGTCACTGAGCCTCAGTCTCATGGTAGTGTAGAAGTAGAAGGTAGTGTTGCATTACACTTGCAAGTGACCACGGCGGTATGCTGTGCTGTCTTGATGGCCTTAAGGTTTCTCACTTCCCACACTGCCCCAACGTGAGGCTCGTCCACCAGCTGACTGTCACTGAGCCTCAGTCTCATGGTATTATAGAAGTAGAAGGTAGTGTTGCATTACACTTGCAAGTGACCACGGCGGTATGCTGTGCTGTCCCGATGGCCTTAAGGTTTCTCACTTCCCACACTGCCCCAGCGTGAGGCTCATCCACCAGCTGACTGTCACTGAACCTCAGTCTCATGGTAGTGTAGAAGTAGAAGGTAGTGTTGCATTACACTTGCAAGTGACCACGGCGGTATGCTGTGCTGTCCCGATGGCCTTAAGGTTTCTCACTTCCCACACTGCCCCAGCGTGAGGCTCGTCCACCAGCTGACTGTCACTGAGCCTCAGTCTCATGGTAGTGTAGAAGTAGAAGGTAGTGTTGCATTACACTTGCAAGTGACCACGGCGGTATGCTGTGCTGTCCCGATGGCCTTAAGGTTTCTCACTTCCCACACTGCCCCAGCGTGAGGCTCGTCCACCAGCTGACTGTCACTGAGCCTCAGTCTCATGGTAGTGTAGAAGTAGAAGGTAGTGTTGTATTACACTTGCAAGTGAACACGGTGGTATGATGTGCTGTCCCCATGGCATTGAGGTTGGTCACTTCCCACACTGCCCCAGCGTGAGGCTCGTCCACCAGTCGACTGTCACTGAGCCTCAGTCTCATGGTAGTGTAGAAGTAGAAGGTAGTGTTGTATTACACTTGCAAGTGAACACGGTGGTATGATGTGCTGTCCCCATGGCATTGAGGTTGGTCACTTCCCACACTGCCCCAGCGTGAGGCTCGTCCACCAGCTGACTGTCACTGAGCCTCAGTCTCATGGTAGTGTAGAAGTAAAAGGTAGTGTTGTATTACACTTGCAAGTGACCACGGCGGTATGCTGTGCTGTCCCGATGGCCTTAAGGTTTCTCACTTCCCACACTGCCCCAGCGTGAGGCTCGTCCACCAGCTGACTGTCACTGAGCCTCAGTCTCATGGTAGTGTAGAAGTAGAAGGTAGTGTTGTATTACATTTGCAAGTGACCACGGCGGTATGCTGTGCTGTCCCGATGGCCTTAAGGTTTCTCACTTCCCACACTGCCCCAGCGTGAGGCTCGTCCACCAGCTGACTGTCACTGAGCCTCAGTCTCATGGTAGTGTAGAAGTAGAAGGTAGTGTTGTATTACACTTGCAAGTGAACACGGCGGTATGCTGTGCTGTCCCGATGGCCTTAAGGTTTCTCACTTCCCACACTGCCCCAGCGTGAGGCTCGTCCACCAGCTGACTGTCACTGAGCCTCAGTCTCATGGTAGTGTAGAAGTAGAAGGTAGTGTTGCATTACACTTGCAAGTTACCACGGCGGTATGCTGTGCTGTCCCGATGGCCTTAAGGTTTCTCACTTCCCACACTGCCCCAGCGTGAGGCTCGTCCACCAGCTGACTGTCACTGAGCCTCAGTCTCATGGTAGTGTAGAAGTAGAAGGTAGTGTTGCATTACACTTGCAAGTGACCACGGCGGTATGCTGTGCTGTCCCGATGGCCTTAAGGTTTCTCACTTCCCACACTGCCCCAGCGTGAGGCTCGTCCACCAGCTGACTGTCACTGAGCCCCAGTCTCATGGTAGTGTAGAAGTAGAAGGTAGTGTTGCATTACACTTGCAAGTGACCACGGCGGTATGCTGTGCTGTCCCGATGGCCTTAAGGTTTCTCACTTCCCACACTGCCCCAGCGTGAGGCTCGTCCACCAGCTGACTGTCACTGAGCCCCAGTCTCATGGTAGTGACGTAGAGGGTGTCTAACATCGGCCCGCCCCATGTCACAGACGTCACTCGTGTTACTGGTATCTTGATCATCCTTAATAATGCCCCTGTCTTCGGGTCCACGCGGATAATCTGTGAAATCCAAGAATAAGACCACATGGAATTAACTGTTCTAAGGTCAAATCTATATATATATATAATACGCTAAGCCGATTTTAAAACGTTTTTATTAGCTCACTTTCTTGTCCGGTACAAATTTTAAAATCAATGTTATACTAACTTCCCGACGAGCTAGAGACTTGAAACTTGAAACATAGCTCACAAATGGAAGACAATGTAATATTATATCATTTAATTTTCACATTTCCCTTGGGCTACGCCCCATGGGCTTGTTTTTATTAAATCGCTTTCTTGCAAATTTTGGTACTTCCCGATGAGCTAGAGACTTGAAATTTGAAACATAGCTCATAAATGGATGGCAATGCAATATTATATCATTTAATTTTCATATTTCCCTTGGACTACGCCCCATGGGCTTGTTTTTATTAGCTCTCTTTCCTACAAATTTTGATATCAATTTTAAACGAAGTTCCCGATGAGCTAGAGACTTGAAACTTGAAACATAGCTCTCAAATGGATGACAATGCAATATTATATCATTTCATTTTCATATTTCCCTTAGGCTACGCCCCTTTGGCTTCCAAATTTCCCATGTTTACATTTTAAAAGAATGTAAACATATAAATTAATTCAAGTCAGCTGTAAATACTTAAATTTGACAGTTAGAAGAGCAGAGGTTAAGAGGTACAGGTTCTGCTCCCGAGATATTCTACAAATATAAAACAATCATTTCAAAGTTAAGATAAAACATCTGATTACAGATAATAAGGTTTTGGGGTTTGGTTATGTATTAAGAGGCTATATAAAATAGATTTGACATATTTACACATTAAAGACTAAAAACTAGAAAATAATTTATAAATAAAAATACTTTTAAAAAATGCCACGTTTTTAAACGCACTAAAAAGTATAAAATAATTTATAAAATGTTGAGAGAATAAATACTTGTAAGATTTAAAACGAAAAACGTGGGGCGCATGCAATAGATCATAATAGTTCAATAGGTGAAGTTAATTGTAAATCAGCATGCGCCCCACGTTTTTCGTTTTAAATCTTACAAGTATTTATTCTCTCAACATTTTATAAATTATTTTATACTTTTTAGTGCGTTTAAAAACGTGGCATTTTTAAAAAGTATTTTTATTTATAAATTATTTGTAAACAGAACTCCTCCCTCATTTATGGACCGATTTTGATGATTAAAGTGTCAAAACAATTGCCCTGATCTGTAGTTTTGCAAAGTGTTTTTAGTTTTTTGATATCTTTATTAGTTTGGGCAGGACCTTCCATCAAAGTTGGATTCTCTCCCATAAGATTAACATGGGGGAATCTAAATATTTAATTGGAAACTTTGTCTCCATACTAATTTGAGAGAACGCCTGGGCGTAGAAACTTAGTAGAGGTGTCCAAAGAAAGGTCTTGGTCTGCAGATGAGTTATCAAAAGAAAAACGAAGTAAATTCGATTAGGTCTCTGTCCCAGAAGCCTTTAAAGATCCCTCCACAGATTTGTTTACATTTTGGTCATGTGGATAATACTTTATTAATAAAGTATTATTGGTCATGCGGTTTTACTTAATTAATAAAACCGCTGTTAATTTTAAAATTGTATTTTAAACAACACACATTTATTGGGAGTTACTAAATAGTCCAAAAGAAGTATTTGCAATGTTATTTTCTGATTTTAAACTGGATTTTCTTCTGGATCATGTCATGTGTTGCAATATAAAGTTCCATTACCCAATCAGTGGAAAATCCTTTTATCACAATAACTCTTACAAATTATTTCTTATTGAACTATCTTATATCTATTTTACGGGTTGGTGTCTGCCTTTTTCACACCTTTTCCCTATATTTTATCATATTATTCTAGACAGATCATCATAGGTTAATGAGATTATTGTCATACATGCTTTCAATCATTGGAAAAATCATCGATTGTGTAATACAATACAAAATAATACAAGTGCAGAAGGGCACGGTGCCCATTTGAGCCGTGTCCATATTTTGTTAAATTAGTAGTGGTTTACAGCAACTGGATAAAATATTTTACAATATTTATGTAGAAATATGTGCATGATTTAGAAAGTCATTAAGCTGGATAACTGCAATATACTTCAGACTTTTCAGAGAGGTTACTTTGATGTATTCATTCATCTTAGTGTAAACACAATATAGATATGTATACAAATAAGAACTTGAACTCTTAGGGAGCCTTTGAATTGTATTAGACTAACGAAAAGGGTTGTGCATGTTTACTAGCACTACTCAGCAACAAAAACAATGTAATTCATCTCTAAAAAATATATTCTTAAGTGCACTAAGCAGCAGCCTAAAAAATACTAAGTAGCTTCCTCATATAGTTACAAAATGCTCAAACTCGCATTGTCACATTTATGATTCGGCTTATATTTCTCCAACTTCATCTGCAGAAGAAGTTCAGTGTGCTATTATCGCGTATAATAACATCCAAACACAAAAACCTTGCCTAAAATGGTGGTACCTATCTTGACAAATTATTTGCAGTGACCTATATTACGGACCATGGCTCACTGCGTTGGTAACATTATTGAAAGTATCACAATATTTTTGCTGTAAGAGTAAATACTATTTTAGCAGCTACTGTCACGACAGAAAGGTCATATTCTTTTTAAACTAGATCACATTATCGTTTATAAGATACGTTGATTAACAATGCATGTAAACGTCAATATTTACGTAACAGCCAATTTACAGTATGTTTTTCTCTTTGGAAATGGCACATTGCTATTTCATTTGCATTATTTGTTGCCAATGAAGCCAGACGACCATATAAACAAAGAGGCCCCTAACCGTCGATTTCGACGGGTTTCACCTAGTATACATTGTTTTAGTTCGGTTTCAACAATATAATTCGGCTTAAACCTTAGCATTATACTTACACCTAGTAAGATTTTGAGAACGTAGTGAATTATAGTTTTTATTTTTATACTTTTTTCAAATACAGAATACTTTCCGATACTGGATGGAGACGTTCTTATAACATATTCTTAAAATACTTGAAATGGAAACTGTATACACCAGTGAAACGAAATACTGTGTTAGTAGTATTAATTTTGATTTATTTGGATTAATATATTTACCAGGGGATCCGTCAGCAAATTGCGCCTTTTAAAGGTCGATTCACACACATCAGTCTGGCACGTCGCAGTCCAGTCGCTTCAGGCACGTCAAAGTTAACAAAAATACTCTTTAATGGATTTTCTATTGCGCTATCTACACTCATCCGTTGCAGTTCCGTCGCTCTGCTGGCGTCCGTCAGTCAGTTTCAGATTTCTTTCCAACGATACTTTTTGATTGTTCGGACGCCTGACGGAACTGTCTGAGGTTAGAAAATAGTGTTATTGTTATTTAAATGGTTCCGTTTGTATTTTGAGTACAGTTTGTAACAATCAAAAAGATGGACAATGATAATTTGATAGAATATAGGTTTATTGAGCGAAGCTCTTATACATCGACTTTTATGCATTTCGTAATACGCAAACTCCTCTAAGACGGCTGAATCAATCGTTTTCAAATTTTGCATGGTGATAAAGACCATATCGGTGAGTGCCAACATCTATACGGCGTTAAAAAAGTCTCTCAGGAATCCGCCCCACTGAGTTTCAATGTAATCCTTATGGAATCAGTATTAGACACATAAACAAAGACATATGATCAGCTGTTGACTTTTGAATGCAGTAGATAAATAATAGCTGATAGCATTATTCCACAGATATTAGAACATTAACGGTGGTATGGATCATAAATATAATCAAATGACGACACTAGCTTGAGGTCAGTGACGTAGGAAGTGGCGAAGGAAGTAGTAAAGGTGAGCAGTCTAGAGTGTGGAAACTGTTTAAGACGATTATATTTAGGTAAGTATGTGCATTCCTAAAATTCTATGGGAAGGGAGGAAAACGGGTCCGTGACGTAGGAAGTGGTGAAGGAAGTAGTCAAGACGAGCTGCCTGGAGTGTGGGAACTGTTTATGACGATTAGATTAAGGTATCTGCATTCCTAAAATTCTATGGGAAGGGACGAAAACAGGTCCGCGACGTAGGAAGTGGTGAAGGTAGTAGTCAAGGTGAGCTGTCCGGAGTGTGGAGAAACTGTTTATGACGATTAGATTTAGGTATCTGCATTCCTAAAATTCTATTGGAAGGGAGGAAAACGGGTCCGCGACGTAGGAAGTGGTGAAGGAAGTAGTCAAGGCAAGCTGTCCGGAGAGTGGGAACTGTTTATGACAATTAGATTAAGGTATCTGCAATCCTAAAATGCTATTGGAAGGGAAGGAAACAGGTCCACGACGTGGGAAGTGGTGAAGGAAGTAGTAAAGGCGAGCTGTTCGGGGTATGGGATCTGTTTATGACCATTAGATTAAGGTATTTGCAATCCTAAAATGCTATGGGAAGGGAGGAAAACAGGTCCGCGACGTGGGAAGTGGTGAAGGAAATAGTCAAGGCGAGCTGTCCGGAGTGTGGAAACTGTTTGTGACTATTAGATTAAGGTATCTACAATCCTAAAATGCTATGGGACGGGAGGAAAACAGGTCCGCGACGTGGGAAGTGGTGAAGGAAGTAGTCAAGGCGAGCTGTGCGGATTGTGGAAACTGTTTATGACTATTAGATTAAGGTATTTGCATTCTAATAATGCTAAGGGAAGGGAAGTAAAGAGGTCCGTGACGTAGGAAGTGATGAAGAAAGCAGTAAAGGCGAGTTTTTTGGAGTGTGGTAACTGTTTATGACGATTAGATTAAGGTATCCCCAATCCTAAAATGCTATGGGAAGGGAGGTAAACAGGTCCGTGACGTAGGAAGAGATTAAGGAAGTGGTAAAGGCGAGTTTTCGGAGTGTGGGAACTGTTTATGACGATTAGATTATGTATCTTGGTATCTACAATCTTAAAATTCTATGGGAAGAGAGGGAAACGTGTCTGCGACGTAAGAAGAGGTGAAGGAAGTAGTAAGGTGAGCAGTGTGGAGTTTGGGAACTGGAAACCGTTTGTAGTAGTTAGATTAATGTATCTGCAATGCTGAAATGCTATGATAAGGGATGGAAGCATGCCCACGACATAGAAAATGGTGAAAGAAGTAGTAAAGGCTAGCAGTGCGGAGTGTGGGCAATGTTTGTGGCAATTAGATTAACGTATCTAAATTCCTAAAATGCTATGGAAAGTGATGAAAACAGGTCCACGATGTAGGAAGTGGCTTAGGAATCAGGTATGAACATATGTTGAGAACCGTCTGTGGCAGTTAGATTAATGTATCTTCAATCATAAAATGCTATGAGAAGGGAAGGAAACATCCCCCACGACGTAGGAAGTAGTAAAGGCTGGCAGTGCAGAGTGAGGGAACCGTTTGGGCAGTTAGATAAATGTATCTAATACTTAAATGCTGTGAGAAGGGAAGGAAACATGTGTATGACGTAGGAAATGGTGAAGGAATTAGTAAGGCTTTCAGTGCAGAGTGTGGGAACTGTCTTTGGCAATTACATTAATGTATCTGTAATCCTAAAATGCTATGGTAAGAGACGGAAACAGGTCCACGACGTAGGGGGTGGTGAAGGAAGTAGTAAAGGTGGGCAGTGTTGAGTGTGGGAATGGATTAATGTGATGATGCAACGCATGCATCAATGACGACTGTTTTTCACTGCAGTATGACAAAAACAATATAATATGAACCATTGATGACTCCACTCAATTTTGTGGATGCTTCTGCGAACGCCACCTAGTAACTTTAAAATTTTGACTATAAATTACTGTGAATTTTAGAGACGGAAGACTGACTGAAACCAACTGACGGACAATTGACTAAGAAATTGCGGATGGAACTGTGCCTGGACTGTAACTGGACTGTAACGGAACTGTGACTGGACTGATGTGTGTGAATCGACCTTAAAAGCAAATATAAATATGAATGCCATTTTACAAATTATATAATCAAAATGATAATATAAGTTGGTATAATGAATATAGGGTTTGTAACATTTCATTTTGTACTAGCTGTAACCCGCGGGCTTTGCCCCGTTTAACTTCTTAATTTTCAAGATGATCTCGTTCGCATGGCTCAATCACGTCCTGACGTCCTGGTTGAAGTTCGTTCGCTACGCTCACTCACTTTTTGGTTGAAGTTCGTTTGCTACGCTCACTCACTTTTAGGTTAGAGCTCGTTCGCTGAGCTCACTTGCCTTCAGGTTAGCTCGTTCGCTACGCTAACTCGCCTCCAGGTTGAAGCTCGATCGCTACGCTCACTCACCTTTTGGTTGCAAATTAGCTGTTGTCATAAATGTAAAAGAAATAATAGTGCTCCACCGTGTTGGCAATCCTTGTAACTTCAATGCTATTGAACATCATAGAACAGAACCGACTTGTTTAATTGAAACAGCTGTTAAGATTCATTAATTCCATTTAAATATGAGTACTCATAAGGTTAACATGGGAAACTCCAGAGCCACTGGGGCGGAGCCCAGAGGTCGGAGGGTAAAATCCTTTCTTAGTGAGCGTCTACAGCCCAAAAGGAAGATGCCTGCCAAGTTTCAGGTTCCTATGTCTTATGGTTTCTGAGATTTCATGATGAATGAGTGAGTCAGTGGTATATGAGCTTTATATAGATTATCAGTACAATCTAAGTGTATCCATTTACCTGGGATCCTCCCCAACAAGCAATCCAAAGGTTGCCGTCAGCGTCTATAGTCATTCCATCAGGATTGCCTGTCACTGCACCGAGCGAGAACACGGTTCTTCGATGAGCTGGCAAGTAGAACACATAATTACAAAATAAAGGATATCTGTGGTGAAACCTTACATGTGCCTTTGTATTTTTAATTTCTCCCCTTATATATAGTATGGTATACGGAGAACGCATTGTTTTCCTACAAATCTTTGAGCTTGGTGTGGAAGTGGAACATGTCAATAAATAATGTCAATAACATTATTTTTATAACTTAAACACTAAAAAAATGAAAAGCCTGAGTTTGTACAAAGCAGTTAAAGATTTTTTTTATTTCTATAATCATTGACATAGTTTTAGAAAAAATAATCTATGACAAAGTTTTATATTAAATAAACCTACCACATAATTGTGTAAAATAATATATTTAACTTATTTGGATCAGTTGTCTGAAATTATGAAATATGCAATTTGGCAATTCTTCTTTTTAACATTGAAATGTCAAAGCTAATGTAAACCTTGTGAGTGTTCTCATTGCAGCCATGGAGTCCAATCAATATTACTTTTAAAATCCTCACCTCAGAACTTTAAAAGCCAAAGGGGCAAAGCCCACGGTCACGAATTGTAAACAGTCCTATTAATATTTTTGTTATGGTAGCTCTATTTTTGTTAAATTACAGACAGACACCATCATATCTTTATATGGCCGTATATATACATACTTTATATACAAATTTGAACGTGTGTTTGCCCTATAGGGACATAAAAATGAAAAAGTAGGCCTAAGTATATCGGTCCCGGGTCCAAGTCTTACCTAACCCGGTAGCTACTTCCTAAAAGTAAATAATTATAATTTAATGTCCAGAAAAAATAACCAAAAATATAAATAATAACAAAAATAATAAAAATGAAATTAATTAAAATAAAGTAGGCTAATGAAATAAAATTATAAAAATCAAAACTACATTAAACTTGTGAACTTGTGCGGCTCAATGCCCCGCAAAATAACATATGAATTTAGAAAACAAATTCATCGTATTATATATTGACTCGACGTCGAAAATTAAATACAGTAATAATGAAGCCTTGGAAGGGAAGCAGTCCAGCCATTTTCTAGCTGTATGTGTATTATATTTAGTAAATTAATAAGTGTTCAAGTTCAAGTATGTTATAGGCAGCGAGCAAGGTTATAGGGTAGTTATGTTTTAAAGATTTTTATAACACATTTAACAACACATTTTATCATATCAAACCAATAGGCCTATGTAGCATATTTTGAGGGTCATACAAATGCTGCTTGAAGAAAACACACTTATAAAAATAAACACTAATAAACAATATTTTTTATCACAAAAGCCCTTCCATGAATACTACGATTTTAGCCTTAAAGTTACCTTCAGGACGATTACCCTGGTCAGAGTTTTCCGTAACGAATATGCTTATCCTATTAAAAGATGTAGCCTTACTTAAAACAACATATAATATAGTTGCTCATGACTGAAATTGGTCTGGGTAAGAACAGCGCTGCAAATGCCAAAGGTAACAGAAATTACCATCTTTCCATTTTAAAGGGTAAGTATGTATTAATATTCCTCATCAATAAAACCACTGCCCCCTTTTATTAGTCTAATCTGTGCCTTGGCAATCCACTGACCTCTATATTTAAAAACTCAGTTGGATTTTCTAGATGGGTGTCTCCGCCTTCGTCTGTTTTCAAGGACCCACTCTTCTTTCCCTTGTTAAACTGACAATTAATTACCTGACTTATCAAGTTCATGTAGTAATTCATTAATACTGTTAGTTTATAAAGAAAATTTGATAAAAGTTACGTGGCTTGGTGCTTTCATAACTGCAAACTCAAAATACACCCACAAGTAAAAAATAATCTAGATATTGGTTAAAAAAAACTATGTTTGTGTAATGACATTATTCACATGAAGTAGATGATTTGTTTGATTTTTCGATCAGCTGTTTTAGTATCAAATGAATTAATAATGTCAAAGATTTGTGATTTAAATACATAAATTATTATAGTTAAGTTTTCTAAATCATGGTAACTTATTCTCCACTAAATTTTACTAACTACTCCCAGCATTAAAATAAAGTAGTATGATCCATTATGGGTAAACTTTAAGGTACACAATCCTTGATTGAAATGTAGTAGGTATACATTAAGAGTCATAATACACAACAATTATTATGTAGTAGACTTTGACTATTTTCAAGTAACAAACATATGTTTCTGTAAATAAAATTATCTCCCATGTTATCCTTATGGAGAAATTTGCAGCTTTAAAGGGCTCCAGGCCCTCAATCTCTCATTATTTCCCTAAAAAGAAAGTGTCCTGTACAACTTCACGTTACCCTCTTTCCAATGACACCAAAAACATGTCAATCGGTTCAGTAGTTTCGGAGGAGTAATTGTCACAAAAAACCTGCTTGCTTATTAAATAAGTACTAGAGGTCGTCCAGTGGTCAAAACTCGACCAAAAATATTTATTCAGACTTCTTTATTTTCATCCCACACTGTGAATACAACATGTGATTGGAATTTCTTCCATTTGTTTTGATTTTCTGTTTACATTTCGTTGTTATTTCGACACCAGCATGGCAATCCATAAGATCCATGTTAATTTTTTTTAAATTTTAAATTCATTTTTGTGCTTATTTTGAACCTATTTTAATTTATAAAGGGATTCTGCACATCTACAGGTAAATATCTTTCCAACAATATGCGTAGATTTTCCCTGCGATGCACAATAGCTGAGAAAAAAGGTTTTAAAGAAACATGCTTGCCTATATAGATAGATTAAATAAATAAACCTATGAAAAACAGTGTTTTTCAGAAATTTTAGAATTTGCTAACGCAAACATTTTTAAGTCTTTACGAAAATGTAATTTTTATACTAGGTGGCGTTCGCAGAGGCATCCACAAAATTGAGCGGAGTCATCAAAGGTTCATATTATATTGTTTTTGTAATACTGCAGTAAAAACAATCGTATGTAGCAGTAAAAGTAGCATTTTAACTCTTTAGGGAGTAAAAATCGTTTTTAGCCTCTACGGAGTAAAAATCAGCTGTTGACAACTCATTTGTTAATTTCTATTGTAAACGATTGCATGTATCGAAATATGTATCGATTCGTGTTTCGTAATAGTTTTAACCTACAGTCTACAGTCTCTTCCCAAAGCATTTTAGAATTGTAGATAAATTAATCCATTCCCACACTCAACACTGCTCACGTTTACTACTTCCTTCACCACCCCCTACGTCGTAGACCTGTTTCCCCTCTTCCCATAGCCTTTAAGGATTGCAGATACATTAATGTAATTGTCAAAGACAGTTCCCACACTCTGCACTGCAAGCTTTACTAATTCATTCGCCTTTTTTTTTTTTTTTTTTTTTTTTTTTTTTTAAAGAGGTTGGCAGCCTCTTTTAACCTTGCATTTGCCCGTCCACATAGACTAAGCGCACGTGCGTGGATCGTTTACAGCAAAGCAAGGAGTGAGCCGGTGCAGTACAAAGGTGAACTGTACTGATAAAATGTTATCGGCAGTGACCAGGATCCGAACCCACGACACTACTGCCTTGGGCCCGAAGTCCGCGACGCTACCGACTGAGCCACCGACTCACTAATATATTGAAAACAACTAATTCACAACTTAGGCACTATTGTACGATAGGCATACGGCCTGATTGTTAATCGCTCCGTAACATTGGGTTCGGATCACCCACCTCACGTCGCAGCTACTACGCCTTCACTGCAGGCTGGGCGTCCCTCGTGGCCCCAATCGAGACTACAGCCGGTAGGAGATACCCTTAGCATTTCCAACGTCATAGACCTGTTTCCTTCCCTTCTCATAACATTTAAGTATTAGATACATTTATCTAACTGCCCAAACGGTTCCCCCACTCTGCACTGTCAGCCTTTACTACTTCCTTCACCACTTCCTACATCGTGCACCTGTTTTCATCACTTTCCATAGCATTTTAGTAGTTTAGATACGTTAATCTAATTGTCGCAAACATTGACCACACTCCGCACTGCTAGCCTTTACTACTTCTTTACACTATTTTATATGTCGTGGACATGTTTCCATCCCTTCTCATAGCATTTTAGCATTGCAGGTACATTAATCTAACTGCTACAAACAAACGGTTTCCAGTTCCCAAACTCCACACTGCTCACCTTACTACTTCCTTCACCTCTTCTTACGTCGCGGACCTGTTTCCCTCTCTTTCCATAGAATATTAAGATTGTAGATACCTTAATCTAATCGTCATAAACAGTTCCCACAACCCCGGACAGCTCGCCTTGACTACTTGCTTCACCACTTCCTACGTCACGGACCTGTTTCCCTCCCTTTCCGTAGCATTTTAGGATTGCAGATAACTTAATCTAATCGTCATAAACAGTTCCCAACTATGGACAGCTCGCCTTTACTACTTCCTTCACCACTTCCTACATCACGGACCTGTTTCCCTCCCTTCCCTTAGCATTATTGGATTGCAAATTACTTAATCTAAACGTCATAAACAGATCCCACACTCCGGACAACTCGCCTCTACTACTTCCTTCACCACTTCCTACGTCACGGACCTGTTTCCCTCCCTTTCCATAGCATTTTAGGATTGCAGATACCTTAATCTAATCGTCTTAAACCGTTCCCACACTCCGACCAACTCGCCTTTACTACTTCCTTCATCACTTCCTACGTCAGGGACCTGTTTCCCTCCCTTTCCTTAGCATTATTGGATTGCAAATACCTTAATCTAATCGTCATAATCAGTTCCCACACTCCAGACAACTCCCCTCTACTACTTCCTTCACCACTTCCTACGTCACCGACCTGTTTCCCTCCCTTTCCATAGCATTTTAGGATTGCAGATACCTTAATCTAATCGTCATAAACAGTTCCCACAGTCCGGAGTGCTTGCCTATACTACTTCCTTCACCACTTCCTACGTCACGGACCTCTGTTTCCTTCCATTGCCATAGCATCATAGGATTGCAAATACCTTAATTTAATGGTCATATACAGATCCCATACCCCGGACAACTCGCCTATACTACTTCCTTCACCACTTCCTACGTCACGGGCCTATTTCCCTCCATTGCCATAGCATCATAGGATTGCAAATACCTTAATTTAATGGTCATATACAGATCCCATACCCCGGACAACTCGCCTATACTACTTCCTTCACCACTTCCTACGTCACGGACCTGTTTCCCTCCATTGCCATAGCATCATAGGATTGCAAATCCCTTAATCTAATCGTCATAAACAGTTCCCACACTCCGAAAAACTCGCCTTTACTACTTCCTTCACCACTTCCTACGTCACGGACCTGTTTTCCTCCCTTCCCATAGCATTTTAGATTTGTAGATACCTTATTCAATTGTCATAAACAGTTTCCACACTCCGGAGAGCTCGCCTTGACTACTTCCTTCACCACTTCCTACGTCGCGGACCTGTTTTCCTCCCTTCCCATAGCATTTTAGGATTGCAAATACCTTTATCTAATGGTCATAAACAGATCCCATACATCGAACAGCTCGACTTTACTACTTCCTTCACCACTTCCTACGTCACGGACCTGTTTCCTTCCCTTTTAATAGAATTTTAGGATTGCAGATACCTAAATCTAATCGTACAATAATCTGAACTTAAAATTCAACAATTTTCTGGGAGAGACGGTCCCCTGACCCCCCTCCCCCCCCCCGGTGTTCCCCCTCTTAGGCCCCTTTATGCACCTGCTGCAATTCTATAAGTAAATTGCATCAAATGGGGTACTTTTATACAATGCTCTATAATTGCGGCCCGCAAGTCCAGTGCAGCGGACCTAGCAGCTTTTTTGCAGCTGTAGGTACATTGGTTCTTATGGGAGCTTTTATGCACTGCGGCACGGACCGTATTCTGTCAGTGCTACCAGTGGTATAAAACTTGCGGCTGCGATAAAAACCGCAGCCGCAGTGCATTAAAGGGGCCTTAGGGTCATCCTAGTTACGCCTATATGTAGTGATATAATTTTTTATAATCAAAGGAGTCATTAGTACCTACCTACCAAATAAATCAAGTAACAAAATATTTTTTTTTATTATTTTCATTTTGAAGTATTGAGCTAAAATTTCATAATCACAAGTCAAATAGGTAATAGTGTAGTTGGTGATGAATATTACTTAGGTGTATACTGTAACAAGAGATATCTTAGTTTTCAACTTCAATGTGCCTTGCTAATATACATGTTTCATAATTTAAATATATTTCACAAAAGTGAGGAAGATAGATTGTTTACAAATGATAACTTATAACTGCCAGGAAAAAACTCTATGACCTTTGAAAATAAAACAACAAGTTATGTAGCTGTAAACAATGTTTCTTGTAACTAATATTAGATTTGAATCAATCACGCATTTGTTGTTAAATGAATGTTTATGTCAAAACTAAAGCCCCCATCAACTCCTATCTTCAGGCTGAAACTCTATTTTGGAAAGTATTCTCTTAAGATATTAAGAATTTTTTAACTTCCATGGAATTTGTATAGCTCGCCGACTATCTTGGACTTTCTGCCCATAACGGCAATGTTAATAGTTGAACCATATTACTATACGAAATTGTTTATTAAAATAATAAGTTTTAAAATATCTCAATTTAAAGCTATTGAAACCGCGGATAACATTTGCTATCTACATTTTAATTGTTTTTTTTTTCTCAAACTACATAAATATATTGACTTAAACTATGATTTTTTTCAACCTCTAAAACAAAAGATTTAAAAGTCCAAAAAGCAATTCAGACAAAAAATAAATTTAATGTAAGACTAAATTACTTACGTAATTCCCGTCACAGCTCAATAAAATATGTCTATTCAGGACATGTTTCGGTGTTAAAACACCATAGTCAGCTTCAGGTATATAGTGTAGAGTTGATCAGTTGTTAACATCGTCAGAAGATAAACACAGTACGGACACGAATAAATACATAAAACAATTAAACATTTAAAAAACAGGCCTGTTCTAACAAAGATGACCGACCGCACAGGTAGCAAGGGACAGAGTAGTCTTACATTATGTCCAACAGCTCAGGGGCTACACACATGGATTTAAAAATAAATTTAAAATCACATAACATTTTTTGCTCGGTAATCAAGCATATAGAACATGATTACTGTAATAGGCTTCAACGTGATCGTATGTTTTTGCTGATCACTAAGACAAAATAATAATGTAATTTGACAAAATAATAACAATTAAAATTAAAAAGTAGGAGAGTGAAAATTTAAAAACGTACGTTTTCATGTCCCTGGCCTTTTACTTCGTAGCTACTGGATTTGTAGTTTATTATTATGTGTTTTAATATTTTTTGGGATGGGGGCAACATGTTACACACATTTATTTGGTTTTAAATAGGTTCTAGGTATTTTTTTCGTATTTTTAAAGTCTCGAAATTCACGACCATGACGTGTCCCTAGGGTACATTTTCCAACTTTCACGCTGTTTTTAGACTAATTATTCATGCCGAAATGTATAAAGCCATATTTTTATGTCATCAATGGTTATTAAACTTACAAAAAAGGAGCATATTATAATTTTATTGTCATTGCAAACTGACTACCATGACATAATAAGTCTGTCCCTCGATTTGGCGTCACGACCATTTGGGAAAAATTTTCAACTTTGGAGCACGACAGTGGCAAGCCTGGCGTTGATGGAGTCAGTTGGTTTTAGAGACTAGTTCGGGGTGTACGTCAGGATTGTAGTGCCGGTCGTTTCGAGTTGAAAGAAGGAATTACAAGATTAATACAGGTAAGGTTGTGTTTTTTGTAATTTTGGTGTGTCCATGACCGTACATAGTCATTCGATGAAGTAGACATGGTGTTAATTTTTGTTTATAAGATATTTCAGTTGCTAGATTAACCTAGAAGTTCACTTTGTATCCTCGAACATGAGGTGCAGAGCTACCGCCAGAACAGAGCCAAATAACACGTAATTTCACGACCAAAGTTTCACGACCATCGCGGGTTTTTTCACGACCTATCCAGCCTTATGGATTATAGTGTGTTTGGTCGTGACAATAACTTTAATATAATTGTAATTTGAACAGTTTAGTTCAATTGAAACACATATTTTTATTATAACTAACAGTATAATTAAAGGATTGTTTAGAAAGATTTAGATTTTTTTAGAAAACTCACGACCGTACCGCTTGTCCCTGACCATCACGTTTATGATTTCTATCATAAAAATTTCAAAAATTAAAATATCGTCATATTTCAATGTTTTATACACAAAAGAAGCACGCCTCTATGCAAACATAAAGATTTTTCGGGTCTCAGGTAAGTTTTTTCGGAGTTATACAAACTTAAAAAGATTTTATTGGCTTTTTTTCAATTTTTTTGAGTTTTTTATTTTTTTCTAGAAAGACCAAATATATCAAAAGCTCAGTGACCTTTTTAATGTATAATGGTCATAAAAGTAAATTAGTTTATAGCAAAACATAGTTATAAAAATAATATTAGCCTACCTATTTTTAATATTCATTTAAACGTCTGTTATGGTCGTGACAGGATTTTGTGTTTTTCCACTAAAGATGCTCTTTAAAAAAAAAACTACCAAAGATATTGCGTTACCATGGACATTTTATGAAACTTCAATTGTCAATGAAATCAAAAAAATAATAAAAGTTTTGAAAAAAGGGGAAACAAATTTGCAAAGTGTTTTTCCTGAAAACGTACGTTTTTAAATTTTCACTCAGATAGCAAATCCAATCTGCGGTTTCAATAGCTTTAAAATTAGATATTTTGTAACTTTTTATCAGATTAAACAATGTTGTAATATGCTTCAATCATTAACATTGCCATTATGGGCAGAAAATACAAAACAGCTGGCGGTCTTACCGACTAAAGAAAAAATGCATTGATTTATTTTATCTATTTATTGAGAAACACTGTGTTATAAGCTCATGGCATTAATTAAGAGAAATTAACCTTATTTCTATAGTGATTAGGTAGTATATTTTAAGAAATTATTTTTTGTATCATTGTAAATAATGTTATTTCAAAATAATTATTTAGTGATAATTATTTAAGAAATTATGAACCAAAGATTAAATGTAACTTATGTCAATGTAGATGTTCTAGTCATTTTATGTAAGGAATCGTTTGTGTTTCTGTGATAGGTAATTTTTTACAGATTAAAATAATAAAACCAATTTTAAATCAATTGGTTTATAGTTTACTTTGAACACCTGCTTCTTATAATACTTGAATACTTGAATACTTGAATACTTGAAGGCTTCGTCTCTGACCGGGATTCCGGATGGACTGCGTCAAATTTATTTTAAAAAGTAAACTGAGATGGCGGCGAGTTAAAAAAGTGGCACGTCATCTAATTCTTTAAATGTGTAAATAGGCCTATTTTTAAGTTTTTCCTTCACTGAGGTTTTAAACCCAGCCACATCCATACTTCTGACTTCTTCAGGCAGACTATTGTGGAGTTTAATTGCGGTCACTGGGAAGCTATTCAGGGATTTGGACAGTCTGCATTGAGGGGTGTCGAGGTTTCTAGCGTTCCTGGTGTTATGCTGATGTATATCTTGTCTTCTTCCATACTTAGAGATGTTCTGGCGTACGTGTATCAGACAATTGAGGACATATTGTCCATAAACAGTCAGGATGCCGAGACGTTGAAAGATAGGCCTATGAGTAAAATCTTTGCCTGTTATTTCAGTAGAGGTTATCACTCTCAACGCCTCCTTTTGGAGTATCAACAATCTACTGCATGCGGGAGCGTGACCCCAAAGGACCATACAAGACCACCATACAACCAAACAAGATATGGCTGTGGAAAAGCGAGAAATAAACAGTAACAAGGTACTGCTCAGTGACCACATGACGTAGCTTTCTGAGGAGGAAGATCACTCGAGACAATTTGGTGCAGATCTGGTAGTGTTGCATTACACTTGCAAGTGACCACGGCGGTATGCTGTGCTGTCCCGATGGCCTTAAGGTTTCTCACTTCCCACACTGCCCCAGCGTGAGGCTCGTCCACCAGCTGACTGTCACTGAGCCTCAGTCTCATGGTAGTGTAGAAGTAGAAGGTAGTGTTGCATTACACTTGCAAGTGACCACGGCGGTATGCTGTGCTGTCCCGATGGCCTTAAGGTTTCTCACTTCCCACACTGCCCCAGCGTGAGGCTCGTCCACCAGCTGACTGTCACTGAGCCTCAGTCTCATGGTAGTGTAGAAGTAGAAGGTAGTGTTGCATTACACTTGCAAGTGACCACGGCGGTATGCTGTGCTGTCCCGATGGCCTTAAGGTTTCTCACTTCCCACACTGCCCCAGCGTGAGGCTCGTCCACCAGCTGACTGTCACTGAGCCTCAGTCTCATGGTAGTGTAGAAGTAGAAGGTAGTGTTGTATTACACTTGCAAGTGACCACGGCGGTATGCTGTGCTGTCCCGATGGCCTTAAGGTTTCTCACTTCCCACACTGCCCCAGCGTGAGGCTCGTCCACCAGCTGACTGTCACTGAGCCTCAGTCTCATGGTAGTGTAGAAGTAGAAGGTAGTGTTGTATTACACTTGCAAGTGAACACGGCGGTATGCTGTGCTGTCCCGATGGCCTTAAGGTTTCTCACTTCCCACACTGCCCCAGCGTGAGGCTCGTCCACCAGCTGACTGTCACTGAGCCTCAGTCTCATGGTAGTGTAGAAGTAGAAGGTAGTGTTGCATTACACTTGCAAGTGACCACGGCGGTATGCTGTGCTGTCCCGATGGCCTTAAGGTTTCTCACTTCCCACACTGCCCCAGCGTGAGGCTCGTCCACCAGCTGACTGTCACTGAGCCTCAGTCTCATGGTAGTGTAGAAGTAGAAGGTAGTGTTGCATTACACTTGCAAGTGACCACGGCGGTATGCTGTGCTGTCCCGATGGCCTTAAGGTTTCTCACTTCCCACACTGCCCCAGCGTGAGGCTCGTCCACCAGCTGACTGTCACTGAGCCTCAGTCTCATGGTAGTGTAGAAGTAGAAGGTAGTGTTGTATTACACTTGCAAGTGAACACGGCGGTATGCTGTGCTGTCCCGATGGCCTTAAGGTTTCTCACTTCCCACACTGCCCCAGCGTGAGGCTCGTCCACCAGCTGACTGTCACTGAGCCTCAGTCTCATGGTAGTGTAGAAGTAGAAGGTAGTGTTGTATTACACTTGCAAGTGACCACGGCGGTATGCTGTGCTGTCCCGATGGCCTTAAGGTTTCTCACTTCCCACACTGCCCCAGCGTGAGGCTCGTCCACCAGCTGACTGTCACTGAGCCCCAGTCTCATGGTAGTGACGTAGAGGGTGTCTAACATCGGCCCGCCCCATGTCACAGACGTCACTCGTGTTACTGGTATCTTGATCATCCTTAATAATGCCCCTGTCTTCGGGTCCACGCGGATAATCTGTGAAATCCAAGAATAAGACCACATGGAATTAACTGTTCTAAGGTCAAATCTATATATATATATAATACGCTAAGCCGATTTTAAAACGTTTTTATTAGCTCACTTTCTTGTCCGGTACAAATTTTAAAATCAATGTTATACTAACTTCCCGACGAGCTAGAGACTTGAAACTTGAAACATAGCTCACAAATGGAAGACAATGTAATATTATATCATTTAATTTTCACATTTCCCTTGGGCTACGCCCCATGGGCTTGTTTTTATTAAATCGCTTTCTTGCAAATTTTGGTACTTCCCGATGAGCTAGAGACTTGAAATTTGAAACATAGCTCATAAATGGATGGCAATGCAATATTATATCATTTAATTTTCATATTTCCCTTGGACTACGCCCCATGGGCTTGTTTTTATTAGCTCGCTTTCCTACAAATTTTGATATCAATTTTAAACGAAGTTCCCGATGAGCTAGAGACTTGAAACTTGAAACATAGCTCTCAAATGGATGACAATGCAATATTATATCATTTCATTTTCATATTTCCCTTAGGCTACGCCCCTTTGGCTTCCAAATTTCCCATGTTTACATTTTAAAAGAATGTAAACATATAAATTAATTCAAGTCAGCTGTAAATACTTAAATTTGACAGTTAGAAGAGCAGAGGTTAAGAGGTACAGGTTCTGCTCCCGAGATATTCTACAAATATAAAACAATCATTTCAAAGTTAAGATAAAACATCTGATTACAGATAATAAGGTTTTGGGGTTTGGTTATGTATTAAGAGGCTATATAAAATAGATTTGACATATTTACACATTAAAGACTAAAAACTAGAAAATAATTTATAAATAAAAATACTTTTAAAAAATGCCACGTTTTTAAACGCACTAAAAAGTATAAAATAATTTATAAAATGTTGAGAGAATAAATACTTGTAAGATTTAAAACGAAAAACGTGGGGCGCATGCAATAGATCATAATAGTTCAATAGGTGAAGTTAATTGTAAATCAGCATGCGCCCCACGTTTTTCGTTTTAAATCTTACAAGTATTTATTCTCTCAACATTTTATAAATTATTTTATACTTTTTAGTGCGTTTAAAAACGTGGCATTTTTAAAAAGTATTTTTATTTATAAATTATTTGTAAACAGAACTCCTCCCTCATTTATGGACCGATTTTGATGATTAAAGTGTCAAAACAATTGCCCTGATCTGTAGTTTTGCAAAGTGTTTTTAGTTTTTTGATATCTTTATTAGTTTGGGCAGGACCTTCCATCAAAGTTGGATTCTCTCCCATAAGATTAACATGGGGGAATCTAAATATTTAATTGGAAACTTTGTCTCCATACTAATTTGAGAGAACGCCTGGGCGTAGAAACTTAGTAGAGGTGTCCAAAGAAAGGTCTTGGTCTGCAGATGAGTTATCAAAAGAAAAACGAAGTAAATTCGATTAGGTCTCTGTCCCAGAAGCCTTTAAAGATCCCTCCACAGATTTGTTTACATTTTGGTCATGTGGATAATACTTTATTAATAAAGTATTATTGGTCATGCGGTTTTACTTAATTAATAAAACCGCTGTTAATTTTAAAATTGTATTTTAAACAACACACATTTATTGGGAGTTACTAAATAGTCCAAAAGAAGTATTTGCAATGTTATTTTCTGATTTTAAACTGGATTTTCTTCTGGATCATGTCATGTGTTGCAATATAAAGTTCCATTACCCAATCAGTGGAAAATCCTTTTATCACAATAACTCTTACAAATTATTTCTTATTGAACTATCTTATATCTATTTTACGGGTTGGTGTCTGCCTTTTTCACACCTTTTCCCTATATTTTATCATATTATTCTAGACAGATCATCATAGGTTAATGAGATTATTGTCATACATGCTTTCAATCATTGGAAAAATCATCGATTGTGTAATACAATACAAAATAATACAAGTGCAGAAGGGCACGGTGCCCATTTGAGCCGTGTCCATATTTTGTTAAATTAGTAGTGGTTTACAGCAACTGGATAAAATATTTTACAATATTTATGTAGAAACATGTGCATGATTTAGAAAGTCATTAAGCTGGATAACTGCAATATACTTCAGACTTTTCAGAGAGGTTACTTTGATGTATTCATTCATCTTAGTGTAAACACAATATAGATATGTATACAAATAAGAACTTGAACTCTTAGGGAGCCTTTGAATTGTATTAGACTAACGAAAAGGGTTGTGCATGTTTACTAGCACTACTCAGCAACAAAAACAATGTAATTCATCTCTAAAAAATATATTCTTAAGTGCACTAAGCAGCAGCCTAAAAAATACTAAGTAGCTTCCTCATATAGTTACAAAATGCTCAAACTCGCATCGTCACATTTATGATTCGGCTTATATTTCTCCAACTTCATCTGCAGAAGAAGTTCAGTGTGCTATTATCGCGTATAATAACATCCAAACACAAAAACCTTGCCTAAAATGGTGGTACCTATCTTGACAAATTATTTGCAGTGACCTATATTACGGACCGTGGCTCACTGCGTTGGTAACATTATTGAAAGTATCACAATATTTTTGCTGTAAGAGTAAATACTATTTTAGCAGCTACTGTCACGACAGAAAGGTCATATTCTTTTTAAACTAGATCACATTATCGTTTATAAGATACGTTGATTAACAATGCATGTAAACGTCAATATTTACGTAACAGCCAATTTACAGTATGTTTTTCTCTTTGGAAATGGCACATTGCTATTTCATTTGCATTATTTGTTGCCAATGAAGCCAGACGACCATATAAACAAAGAGGCTCCTAACCGTCGATTTCGACGGGTTTTACCTAGTATACATTGTTTTAGTTCGGTTTCAACAATATAATTCGGCTTAAACCTTAGCATTATACTTACACCTAGTAAGATTTTGAGAACGTAGTGAATTATAGTTTTTATTTTTATACTTTTTTCAAATACAGAATACTTTCCGATACTGGATGGAGACGTTCTTATAACATATTCTTAAAATACTTGAAATGGAAACTGTATACACCAGTGAAACGAAATACTGTGTTAGTAGTATTAATTTTGATTTATTTGGATTAATATATTTACCAGGGGATCCGTCAGCAAATTGCGCCTTTTAAAGGTCGATTCACACACATCAGTCTGGCACGTCGCAGTCCAGTCGCTTCAGGCACGTCAAAGTTAACAAAAATACTCTTTAATGGATTTTCTATTGCGCTATCTACACTCATCCGTTGCAGTTCCGTCAGTCGCTCTGCTGGCGTCCGTCAGTCAGTTTCAGATTTCTTTCCAACGATACTTTTTGATTGTTCGGACGCCTGACGGAACTGTCTGAGGTTAGAAAATAGTGTTATTGTTATTTAAATGGTTCCGTTTGTATTTTGAGTACAGTTTGTAACAATCAAAAAGATGGACAATGATAATTTGATAGAATATAGGTTTATTGAGCGAAGCTCTTATACATCGACTTTTATGCATTTCGTAATACGCAAACTCCTCTAAGACGGCTGAATCAATCGTTTTCAAATTTTGCATGGTGATAAAGACCATATCGGTGAGTGCCAACATCTATACGGCGTTAAAAAAGTCTCTCAGGAATCCGCCCCACTGAGTTTCAATGTAATCCTTATGGAATCAGTATTAGACACATAAACAAAGACATATGATCAGCTGTTGACTTTTGAATGCAGTAGATAAATAATAGCTGATAGCATTATTCCACAGATATTAGAACATTAACGGTGGTATAGATCATAAATATAATCAAATGACGACACTAGCTTGAGGTCAGTGACGTAGGAAGTGGCGAAGGAAGTAGTAAAGGTGAGCAGTCTAGAGTGTGGAAACTGTTTAAGACGATTATATTTAGGTAGGTATGTGCATTCCTAAAATTCTATGGGAAGGGAGGAAAACGGGTCCGTGAGGTAGGAAGTGGTGAAGGAAGTAGTCAAGACGAGCTGCCTGGAGTGTGGGAACTGTTTATGACGATTAGATTAAGGTATCTGCATTCCTAAAATTCTATGGGAAGGGACGAAAACAGGTCCGCGACGTAGGAAGTGGTGAAGGTAGTAGTCAAGGTGAGCTGTCCGGAGTGTGGAGAAACTGTTTATGACGATTAGATTTAGGTATCTGCATTCCTAAAATTCTATTGGAAGGGAGGAAAACGGGTCCGCGACGTAGGAAGTGGTGAAGGAAGTAGTCAAGGCAAGCTGTCCGGAGAGTGGGAACTGTTTATGACAATTAGATTAAGGTATCTGCAATCCTAAAATGCTATTGGAAGGGAAGGAAACAGGTCCGCGACGTGGGAAGTGGTGAAGGAAGTAGTAAAGGCGAGCTGTTCGGGGTATGGGATCTGTTTATGACCATTAGATTAAGGTATTTGCAATCCTAAAATGCTATGGGAAGGGAGGAAAACAGGTCCGCGACGTGGGAAGTGGTGAAGGAAATAGTCAAGGCGAGCTGTCCGGAGTGTGGAAACTGTTTGTGACTATTAGATTAAGGTATCTACAATCCTAAAATGCTATGGGACGGGAGGAAAACAGGTCCGCGACGTGGGAAGTGGTGAAGGAAGTAGTCAAGGCGAGCTGTGCGGATTGTGGAAACTGTTTATGACCATTAGATTAAGGTATTTGCATTCTAATAATGCTAAGGGAAGGGAAGTAAAGAGGTCCGTGACGTAGGAAGTGATGAAGAAAGCAGTAAAGGCGAGTTTTTTGGAGTGTGGTAACTGTTTATGACGATTAGATTAAGGTATCCCCAATCCTAAAATGCTATGGGAAGGGAGGTAAACAGGTCCGTGACGTAGGAAGAGATTAAGGAAGTGGTAAAGGCGAGTTTTTCGGAGTGTGGGAACTGTTTATGACGATTAGATTATGTATCTTGGTATCTACAATCTTAAAATTCTATGGGAAGAGAGGGAAACATGTCTGCGACGTAAGAAGAGGTGAAGGAAGTAGTAAGGTGAGCAGTGTGGAGTTTGGGAACTGGAAACCGTTTGTAGTAGTTAGATTAATGTATCTGCAATGCTGAAATGCTATGATAAGGGATGGAAGCATGCCCACGACATAGAAAATGGTGAAAGAAGTAGTAAAGGCTAGCAGTGCGGAGTGTGGGCAATGTTTGTGGCAATTAGATTAACGTATCTAAATTCCTAAAATGCTATGGAAAGTGATGAAAACAGGTCCACGATGTAGGAAGTGGCTTAGGAATCAGGTATGAACATATGTTGAGAACCGTCTGTGGCAGTTAGATTAATGTATCTTCAATCATAAAATGCTATGAGAAGGGAAGGAAACATCCCCCACGACGTAGGAAGTAGTAAAGGCTGGCAGTGCAGAGTGAGGGAACCGTTTGGGCAGTTAGATAAATGTATCTAATACTTAAATGCTGTGAGAAGGGAAGGAAACATGTGTATGACGTAGGAAATGGTGAAGGAATTAGTAAGGCTTTCAGTGCAGAGTGTGGGAACTGTCTTTGGCAATTACATTAATGTATCTGTAATCCTAAAATGCTATGGTAAGAGACGGAAACAGGTCCACGACGTAGGGGGTGGTGAAGGAAGTAGTAAAGGTGGGCAGTGTTGAGTGTGGGAATGGATTAATGTGATGATGCAACGCATGCATCAATGACGACTGTTTTTCACTGCAGTATGACAAAAACAATATAATATGAACCATTGATGACTCCACTCAATTTTGTGGATGCTTCTGCGAACGCCACCTAGTAACTTTAAAATTTTGACTATAAATTACTGTGAATTTTAGAGACGGAAGACTGACTGAAACCAACTGACGGACAATTGACTAAGAAATTGCGGATGGAACTGTGCCTGGACTGTAACTGGACTGTAACGGAACTGTGACTGGACTGATGTGTGTGAATCGACCTTAAAAGCAAATATAAATATGAATGCCATTTTACAAATTATATAATCAAAATGATAATATAAGTTGGTATAATGAATATAGGGTTTGTAACATTTCATTTTGTACTAGCTGTAACCCGCGGGCTTTGCCCCGTTTAACTTCTTAATTTTCAAGATGATCTCGTTCGCATGGCTCAATCACGTCCTGACGTCCTGGTTGAAGTTCGTTCGCTACGCTCACTCACTTTTTGGTTGAAGTTCGTTTGCTACGCTCACTCACTTTTAGGTTAGAGCTCGTTCGCTGAGCTCACTTGCCTTCAGGTTAGCTCGTTCGCTACGCTAACTCGCCTCCAGGTTGAAGCTCGATCGCTACGCTCACTCACCTTTTGGTTGCAAATTAGCTGTTGTCATAAATGTAAAAGAAATAATAGTGCTCCACCGTGTTGGCAATCCTTGTAACTTCAATGCTATTGAACATCATAGAACAGAACCGACTTGTTTAATTGAAACAGCTGTTAAGATTCATTAATTCCATTTAAATATGAGTACTCATAAGGTTAACATGGGAAACTCCAGAGCCACTGGGGCGGAGCCCAGAGGTCGGAGGGTAAAATCCTTTCTTAGTGAGCGTCTACAGCCCAAAAGGAAGATGCCTGCCAAGTTTCAGGTTCCTATGTCTTATGGTTTCTGAGATTTCATGATGAATGAGTGAGTCAGTGGTATATGAGCTTTATATATATAGATTATCAGTACAATCTAAGTGTATCCATTTACCTGGGATCCTCCCCAACAAGCAATCCAAAGGTTGCCGTCAGCGTCTATAGTCATTCCATCAGGATTGCCTGTCACTGCACCGAGCGAGAACACGGTTCTTCGATGAGCTGGCAAGTAGAACACATAATTACAAAATAAAGGATATCTGTGGTGAAACCTTACATGTGCCTTTGTATTTTTAATTTCTCCCCTTATATATAGTATGGTATACGGAGAACGCATTGTTTTCCTACAAATCTTTGAGCTTGGTGTGGAAGTGGAACATGTCAATAAATAATGTCAATAACATTATTTTTATAACTTAAACACTAAAAAAATGAAAAGCCTGAGTTTGTACAAAGCAGTTAAAGATTTTTTTTATTTCTATAATCATTGACATAGTTTTAGAAAAAATAATCTATGACAAAGTTTTATATTAAATAAACCTACCACATAATTGTGTAAAATAATATATTTAACTTATTTGGATCAGTTGTCTGAAATTATGAAATATGCAATTTGGCAATTCTTCTTTTTAACATTGAAATGTCAAAGCTAATGTAAACCTTGTGAGTGTTCTCATTGCAGCCATGGAGTCCAATCAATATTACTTTTAAAATCCTCACCTCAGAACTTTAAAAGCCAAAGGGGCAAAGCCCACGGTCACGAATTGTAAACAGTCCTATTAATATTTTTGTTATGGTAGCTCTATTTTTGTTAAATTACAGACAGACACCATCATATCTTTATATGGCCGTATATATACATACTTTATATACAAATTTGAACGTGTGTTTGCCCTATAGGGACATAAAAATGAAAAAGTAGGCCTAAGTATATCGGTCCCGGGTCCAAGTCTTACCTAACCCGGTAGCTACTTCCTAAAAGTAAATAATTATAATTTAATGTCCAGAAAAAATAACCAAAAATATAAATAATAACAAAAATAATAAAAATGAAATTAATTAAAATAAAGTAGGCTAATGAAATAAAATTATAAAAATCAAAACTACATTAAACTTGTGAACTTGTGCGGCTCAATGCCCCGCAAAATAACATATGAATTTAGAAAACAAATTCATCGTATTATATATTGACTCGACGTCGAAAATTAAATACAGTAATAATGAAGCCTTGGAAGGGAAGCAGTCCAGCCATTTTCTAGCTGTATGTGTATTATATTTAGTAAATTAATAAGTGTTCAAGTTCAAGTATGTTATAGGCAGCGAGCAAGGTTATAGGGTAGTTATGTTTTAAAGATTTTTATAACACATTTAACAACACATTTTATCATATCAAACCAATAGGCCTATGTAGCATATTTTGAGGGTCATACAAATGCTGCTTGAAGAAAACACACTTATAAAAATAAACACTAATAAACAATATTTTTTATCACAAAAGCCCTTCCATGAATACTACGATTTTAGCCTTAAAGTTACCTTCAGGACGATTACCCTGGTCAGAGTTTTCCGTAACGAATATGCTTATCCTATTAAAAGATGTAGCCTTACTTAAAACAACATATAATATAGTTGCTCATGACTGAAATTGGTCTGGGTAAGAACAGCGCTGCAAATGCCAAAGGTAACAGAAATTACCATCTTTCCATTTTAAAGGGTAAGTATGTATTAATATTCCTCATCAATAAAACCACTGCCCCCTTTTATTAGTCTAATCTGTGCCTTGGCAATCCACTGACCTCTATATTTAAAAACTCAGTTGGATTTTCTAGATGGGTGTCTCCGCCTTCGTCTGTTTTCAAGGACCCACTCTTCTTTCCCTTGTTAAACTGACAATTAATTACCTGACTTATCAAGTTCATGTAGTAATTCATTAATACTGTTAGTTTATAAAGAAAATTTGATAAAAGTTACGTGGCTTGGTGCTTTCATAACTGCAAACTCAAAATACACCCACAAGTAAAAAATAATCTAGATATTGGTTAAAAAAAACTATGTTTGTGTAATGACATTATTCACATGAAGTAGATGATTTGTTTGATTTTTCGATCAGCTGTTTTAGTATCAAATGAATTAATAATGTCAAAGATTTGTGATTTAAATACATAAATTATTATAGTTAAGTTTTCTAAATCATGGTAACTTATTCTCCACTAAATTTTACTAACTACTCCCAGCATTAAAATAAAGTAGTATGATCCATTATGGGTAAACTTTAAGGTACACAATCCTTGATTGAAATGTAGTAGGTATACATTAAGAGTCATAATACACAACAATTATTATGTAGTAGACTTTGACTATTTTCAAGTAACAAACATATGTTTCTGTAAATAAAATTATCTCCCATGTTATCCTTATGGAGAAATTTGCAGCTTTAAAGGGCTCCAGGCCCTCAATCTCTCATTATTTCCCTAAAAAGAAAGTGTCCTGTACAACTTCACGTTACCCTCTTTCCAATGACACCAAAAACATGTCAATCGGTTCAGTAGTTTCGGAGGAGTAATTGTCACAAAAAACCTGCTTGCTTATTAAATAAGTACTAGAGGTCGTCCAGTGGTCAAAACTCGACCAAAAATATTTATTCAGACTTCTTTATTTTCATCCCACACTGTGAATACAACATGTGATTGGAATTTCTTCCATTTGTTTTGATTTTCTGTTTACATTTCGTTGTTATTTCGACACCAGCATGGCAATCCATAAGATCCATGTTAATTTTTTTTAAATTTTAAATTCATTTTTGTGCTTATTTTGAACCTATTTTAATTTATAAAGGGATTCTGCACATCTACAGGTAAATATCTTTCCAACAATATGCGTAGATTTTCCCTGCGATGCACAATAGCTGAGAAAAAAGGTTTTAAAGAAACATGCTTGCCTATATAGATAGATTAAATAAATAAACCTATGAAAAACAGTGTTTTTCAGAAATTTTAGAATTTGCTAACGCAAACATTTTTAAGTCTTTACGAAAATGTAATTTTTATACTAGGTGGCGTTCGCAGAGGCATCCACAAAATTGAGCGGAGTCATCAAAGGTTCATATTATATTGTTTTTGTAATACTGCAGTAAAAACAATCGTATGTAGCAGTAAAAGTAGCATTTTAACTCTTTAGGGAGTAAAAATCGTTTTTAGCCTCTACGGAGTAAAAATCAGCTGTTGACAACTCATTTGTTAATTTCTATTGTAAACGATTGCATGTATCGAAATATGTATCGATTCGTGTTTCGTAATAGTTTTAACCTACAGTCTACAGTCTCTTCCCAAAGCATTTTAGAATTGTAGATAAATTAATCCATTCCCACACTCAACACTGCTCACGTTTACTACTTCCTTCACCACCCCCTACGTCGTAGACCTGTTTCCCCTCTTCCCATAGCCTTTAAGGATTGCAGATACATTAATGTAATTGTCAAAGACAGTTCCCACACTCTGCACTGCAAGCTTTACTAATTCATTCGCCTTTTTTTTTTTGTTTTTTTTTTTTAAAGAGGTTGGCAGCCTCTTTTAACCTTGCATTTGCCCGTCCACATAGACTAAGCGCACGTGCGTGGATCGTTTACAGCAAAGCAAGGAGTGAGCCGGTGCAGTACAAAGGTGAACTGTACTGATAAAATGTTATCGGCAGTGACCAGGATCCGAACCCACGACACTACTGCCTTGGGCCCGAAGTCCGCGACGCTACCGACTGAGCCACCGACTCACTAATATATTGAAAACAACTAATTCACAACTTAGGCACTATTGTACGATAGGCATACGGCCTGATTGTTAATCGCTCCGTAACATTGGGTTCGGATCACCCACCTCACGTCGCAGCTACTACGCCTTCACTGCAGGCTGGGCGTCCCTCGTGGCCCCAATCGAGACTACAGCCGGTAGGAGATACCCTTAGCATTTCCAACGTCATAGACCTGTTTCCTTCCCTTCTCATAACATTTAAGTATTAGATACATTTATCTAACTTCCTTCACCTCTTCTTACGTCGCGGACCTGTTTCCCTCTCTTTCCATAGAATATTAAGATTGTAGATACCTTAATCTAATCGTCATAAACAGTTCCCACAACCCCGGACAGCTCGCCTTGACTACTTGCTTCACCACTTCCTACGTCACGGACCTGTTTCCCTCCCTTTCCGTAGCATTTTAGGATTGCAGATAACTTAATCTAATCGTCATAAACAGTTCCCAACTATGGACAGCTCGCCTTTACTACTTCCTTCACCACTTCCTACGTCACGGACCTGTTTCCCTCCCTTCCCTTAGCATTATTGGATTGCAAATTACTTAATCTAAACGTCATAAACAGATCCCACACTCCGGACAACTCGCCTCTACTACTTCCTTCACCACTTCCTACGTCACGGACCTGTTTCCCTCCCTTTCCATAGCATTTTAGGATTGCAGATACCTTAATCTAATCGTCTTAAACCGTTCCCACACTCCGACCAACTCGCCTTTACTACTTCCTTCATCACTTCCTACGTCAGGGACCTGTTTCCCTCCCTTTCCTTAGCATTATTGGATTGCAAATACCTTAATCTAATCGTCATAATCAGTTCCCACACTCCAGACAACTCGCCTCTACTACTTCCTTCACCACTTCCTACGTCACCAACCTGTTTCCCTCCCTTTCCATAGCATTTTAGGATTGCAGATACCTTAATCTAATCGTCATAAACAGTTCCCACAGTCCGGAGTGCTTGCCTATACTACTTCCTTCACCACTTCCTACGTCACGGACCTCTGTTTCCTTCCATTGCCATAGCATCATAGGATTGCAAATACCTTAATTTAATGGTCATATACAGATCCCATACACCGGACAACTCGCCTATACTACTTCCTTCACCACTTCCTACGTCACGGACCTGTTTCCCTCCATTGCCATAGCATCATAGGATTGCAAATACCTTAATTTAATGGTCATATACAGATCCTATACCCCGGACAACTCGCCTATACTACTTCCTTCACCACTTCCTACGTCACGGACCTGTTTTCCTCCCTTCCCATAGCATTTTAGATTTGTAGATACCTTATTCAATTGTCATAAACAGTTTCCACACTCCGGAGAGCTCGCCTTGACTACTTCCTTCACCACTTCCTACGTCGCGGACCTGTTTTCCTCCCTTCCCATTGCATTTTAGGATTGCAAATACCTTTATCTAATGGTCATAAACAGATCCCATACATCGAACAGCTCGACTTTACTACTTCCTTCACCACTTCCTACGTCACGGACCTGTTTCCTTCCCTTTTAATAGCATTTTAGGATTGCAGATACCTAAATCTAATCGTCATAAACAGTTTCCACACTCCAGACTGCTCACCTTTACTACTTCCTTCACCACTTCCTACGTCACGGACCTCAAGCTAGTGACGTCATTTGATTATATTTATGATCCATACCGTTTCTGTTCTAATATCTGTGGATTAATGCTATCAGCTATTTCTATATCTACTGCATTCAAAAGTCAACAGCTGATCATATGTTTTTGTTTATGTGTCAAATACTGCTTCCATAAGGATTACATTGAAACTTTGAGACCCAGTGGGGCGGATTCCTGAGAGATTTTTTTAACGCCATATAGATGTTGGCACTCACCGATATGGTCTTTATCACCATGCAAAATTTTAAAACGATTGATTCAGCCGTCTAGGAGGAGTTTGCGTATTACGAAATGCATAAGAGTCGACGTATAAGAGCTTCGCTCGCTTCGCTCGCTCCGCTCAATTAAATGAAATTGGTTGATTACCGGAAGTAACTACTTCATGTTTCATGTTTGCGGAACAGCATTAGATACGGTGAGGATTTTTTTGCTGATTACTCGAGTAGGCCTGGTCAACGAACCCTGATAACCAAAATACAGTGGAACTCAAATTGTCCGAATCAATTGGGGCCGAACCCAATTCGAATAAAAAAAAAATCGGTTAGTTGTTTTTTTTTTCGAAATTCACAGTCTTTAACCCAAATAGGTGAGTCATGCCGAGTTTTTACGATTGCGATTGCAGAACGCACCTGTGGCGATTTCGCGTACGGAAAATCTACGCTTTCGCCGGGATCGCGGATTACGATTGTGATTTTCCGTGACCGCGGGAGACGATAAATGGTGTCAACACGACCGTGGGATGTATTTATAATTTTGCCGCGATCGCGAAAAATGATGACGATGTGTCCGTGACCGCGGGAGACGATAAATGGTGTCAACACGACCGTGGGATGTATTTATAATTTTGCCGCGATCGCGAAAAATGATGACGATGTGTCCGTGACCGCGGGAGACGATAAATGGTGTCAACACGACCGTGGGATGTATTTATAATTTTGCCGCGATCGCGAAAAATGATGACGATGTGTCCGTGACCGCGGGAGACGATAAATGGTGTCAACACGACCGTGGGATGTATTTATAATTTTGCCGCGATCGCGAAAAATGATGACGATGTGTCCGTGACCGCGGGAGACGATAAATGGTGTCAACACGACCGTGGGATGTATTTATAATTTTGCCGCGATCTCGAAAAATGATGACGATGTGTCCGTGACCGTGGGAGACGATGATAGTGTTAACACGACCTGTCTTCTTTAATAACAATTCTTATTACTCTGGTTTTAAAATTTTTAATGATTTCTGTGAGCAATCCAGATTATCAGCAATCCGGATACAAATATCCTCAAAAGATAATATCCAAAGAGTTTGGATAATTGGAGTTATACTTACAGTAAATTTGAATCCAATAGACAAAGTGCTGCCATGCTATATACAAAGAACTCAATTTTCGGTAGTTTCAGCTTTAGTTAGCTATAATATAATAAAGCTCAGAGTCAGATCATAGCAAATGGTTGAATAATATCAGCAGGATATTACCTTTTCTATATCACTATATCATCACATGGACAAGTGTATATGGAGCTGCACGTCAGGAAAAGTCCTTTGGAGAGCTTAAACTATTTTTGTAAAACACTAATAAACAAGGCCGTCTCCCGAAAACTTATAAAATACTTGCATAAGCCTAAATATTGTTTAAAAAGAGCTTTTACTATCAGAGTGAGTGCTTCCGGAATATACTTAATTATGTAATAAGTCGAATCTTATAATTCAATTTAAAATTATTGTGAGAGTTATTTATTTTTATTTCACTCCGTTTTGAAATCAATCCTGCAATACTTAGAAATTACTCGATTTTGAACAACAAGTACACTAGTTTTAACTATTTTAAAATGTCTTCGTTAGTGCTAGTTAACATTCCTATTGAAATGGAGTTAAAAGCCCTGTATGTAGTTAACCCCTCTATTGATTAACCGAACAATTAATTTAAGTGAAACGGCCTCCCCCACTATACATGTTAAGATAGTTATCGTTTAAAACATTGACATATTCAGTGTTATATGTATATCATGTACTTAGTAGTGTATAATTTAGTGTTGTATATGTGGCAGCCCTGTCTTTGAGAATACACACTCTTCCGCCCTCAAGCTGTCTATTTATTGCAGAGCTTAAACACCTCTAGCATAATCTATTATAATCCAAATATTATATTCAGTGTGCTATACTTACAGAGTGTTCCGTTCTCCAGGTCATAGTCGAAGGCGTCCACTCTGCGTGTGGGTGTGTCTATGTAGTAGAGTATCTTGTTGTCCAGACTCCAGGTGAGGCCGTTGCTGATGGTCACAGGTCGTATCTCTACATCAGCTACACAAGGCTTGCTAGGGTCGTTGTCCAGGCGGTATAACGTGCCCCGGTCAGGCAGGACACTGCCCACTGGCTTCTCGAACCCTATCGTCCCTGTAGTCCGTCAATATGTTACTCTAAATTGGTGCAATGGAGTCAAACTTGATGATAGTCATGCATTTTTAATAACATACTGACTGTAAATTTCGAGGGTATACTGGTCTTTAACATGCAATCAACTTGACCAAGCTGTCATTGGGCAGAACCAGCTGATATTCGTAAGTAACAAAGCTAACAACCGCGAATACTAGAACAGAAAGTGGTATAGATCATGAACATAAACAAATTACGTAACTGGCCCGACCGAATCCTTTACTAATACCATTAACATATTATGGTTTTAGACAGTTCCATTTAAGCGATGTTAAATAATGATTACTTTTGGGCCAGTAACATGAATTGTTTATGTTTATGATCCATACCGCTTTCTGTTATAACATTCGTGCCAACATCTCATCTTTTCAACACTCGTCATTCACTTCATCCTTTTCAAAGTTGTAGGCATTTTCTTGGACTTGTCCCGGGCGTTTGATAGTGTTGAACACTGCAAATTAATTGAAGTCCTTAGCTATCTTGGCGCAAAATCTACCGAACTGGCATGGTTTCGCTCATACCTCTCACAGAGAACACAATTTGTAGAAATAGAATATTCAATACCCAGAATATAGACCATTCAAGATATTTGTACTGTACTGTAAGCGCACGACTTGTTTGCGCGTGGTCCCTCCACCGCCTCCGCGGCCAGGAGGAGCCCCCACCACAGCCCGGCGCTTGGCGATCTACTACTAGTCGCCCTAAAAATGTTGTCTATACTACTTCTACTCCTAGCGGACACACGGGGGAGTATCGGTGGCATCTTGAATGTGATTGCAAATGTAGTTTTAAATTACCCTACCATACAATTACAAAGTATTTGTTATGACCGCAGAGTAATAAAACAAAAGTTTTGTTTTATTACTCTGAGGTTATGACTTATGAATATTTTCCATTATCTCATAATTTTTTCGTCACGTTTAAAAAAAATAAATTAAATATTGTTAATTGTATCTGTCATATGCATCAAAAAAAGAAAACCATAATTAATTTAATTACACGTAATAAGTTACAATAATAAACAATTAATAGTAACAACGGAAGGAATCTTTAAGAAAAGGATATCAGTTACATTATGTTAAAATGGAGTTTCAAGGTCAGAGTCCGATATTGAATCCGTGTCCGAATCTTCACATTCACTGTCTTCTGAATCCACACCTCCAAGTTCAATAACAAAACGTTTCACAACTTCCTCCATTATGCTATCTTTAATCCAATATTCTTGTTCTATTTTAAGGGTGTGGCTGGTAAACCCCTCCCAATCTATTTTACTGATAGAAAAAATTGAATTTTTTTAGCTTCCTCCAATTTTGTCAGTGACAGATCACCCGTAATATTTTCCTCCTTGATTTTCCTTTTCATCTTGGCCCAAGCTAACTCAATCGGATTGAGGTCGCACATGTAAGGGGCAATCGAATCACGCTGTGACCACGCGATTTTAGCATTTCATCTATCCGATAAATTTTTTCAGGAGGCTTGTGCTGATTAATCAATTCCCACAACTCAAATTTTTTCATTTCCATCGAGCAAGGGATCTTATTTTTTGTCAGCCAGTCAATCATTTCTTTGCGTATTTGGATAGTGGCTTGTTTACTTGTAAGCAGTGGTAAGGGGCGTTGTCTAGCACAATAACACTTTTATTAGGGAGGGTTGGTATAAGTTTTTCATCGATCCACTTTTCAAAGTTTACCCCATTCATCTGGCCATGATAATCTCCAGTTACTTTACCGGCTCTAAATATTAGTGTTGCATCATGGCACAAAACCATCTTCTGAACCGGCACTAACCACAATTAATCTATTAGACGAGCTGGTGTTAGTGAGGACCCCGGGGACATCGTCACTGCTCCAGCATTTTCCAAATGTTAAGTTGTTATCAACCCATGTTTCGTCAAGATATATGATTTTACATTTTTCATGTCTACACTTTTGAATGTCTCGCAAGTAGCGAGCGCGCCAATTTACAATATCCAGCCGTTCTATCAACACTTTTCTAATTTTCCCACACCTTTTCCATTTAAACCCCATGTCTTTTAGCAGTTTTCGTAAATTGGAAACTCCCCAAGGAATATTAAATTTTTTCTGTAATTGCATATAACAGTTTTGGTGCTGTCGGCACTTTTTTTTGTATCGTATAAAAACATGAATAGTGTCTCTTATCATTCTTTTATCAAATTCATCGATGTGGAATTTCTTCTCCTCTGAGTAGGGTATTTTTTTACCTGGTGTTTCTAGGGTAGATCCTCCGGCCTCAACCCCTTCTTTCGAATACCTGTTAATCGCCGCCACTGACAATCGCTGCCAACTCAAATTTTGCTACAATCACTACTGTACCAGTCTCTACCTGTGGCCGTGAGTCACCACCCTCACCGCTACGTAACGGCATACCTTACTCCCCTCCCTTCACTAACCAAACCACCCTATTGGGAATGACCACTGAAGTAATACCTATATATATGTGTGCCACTATCAGTGGCTCATGATCTCCTAGCCCTGTTCGAGTGCCCCACGGAGTGCCCCAAGGCTCTATATTGGGCCCTACCCTGTTTATACTGTATATAAATGACTTACCTTGTAATATTAATGACTTATCTGTAAAAAGCTTTCTGTTTGCTGATGACTTGGCCTTGTGTGTACGGGGTAACTCTTTGAATGACGTTACAGATACATTGGATACAAAATCTGCTGTTATTAATGACTGGTGTAATGCAAACAAGTTATGTCTTAATGCTGATAAGACTCAAGACCTGACTATTAGTCTTAGCTGTAATGGTAATGATGTAAACACTCTGAAGTTTTTGGGTTTTCACTTGCAGTCAAACTTGAAGTGGTTTTCACATGTAGATTTTATAGCATCTAAAATTGTAAAATGCATATTTATGATAAGAGCACTTAGGTCCACTGTTTCAGTTGATGTCCTTATTTGTATATATTATGGCCACATTCATAGCTATTTGTCCTATGGTACCTCACTGTGGGCTAACAGTTTTTATGCTAACAGGTTGCTTTTTACTTTACAAAAGAAGGCGGTGAGGTTAATTTGTAGTGTGAATAGAACACATTGTAAGCACCTTTTCAGGGGTCTTAACATTCTCACATTTCCATCCTTGTATGTTTTGGCAAGTTTGTTGTTTGTAAAAGAAAACATTTCTCACTTTGAAAAGATATCTGATGTTCACAACTATTGTACTAGATCTAAAGATAATCTGTCTACACTAAGGCATAAGTATACAGCCACTCAAAATAGTTTTGAGTACCAAAGTGTTAAAATGTACAATTTCTTGCCTGCATCCATCAAAAACCTGTGTGTTTTAAAATTCAAACATGTTTTAAAAACTACTCTAACCCAGGCTTGCCTGTATAAACATGAAGAGTACTTTGGTTTAGAGTTTTAGATATTTTAGTTGCCAGAGCAATTTTGTTTGTTTTGTTTTTCTTTTGACGATTGTCATGAACTTTGTACATAGTTTTAACGACAATAAATCATTTCATTTCATTTCATTCATTTATAGTGCTATAATTCATTCTGTGTAAACGTTTCATAAACGGTTCTGTGTTTACGGTACTATAGTTTATACTACTGTTGTTCGAAACAGAGGTCGACGCTGATTGTTTAATTACACTAGCTGCGTGCCCGTTCTACGCACGGGGATCTTATCATAGTCAGTAACACCTTCTTATATTAAGCACAGCAGATGTTTTGCATACTTTCAGATATGCTGACAAAACTATTATATACTAGCAAAGTACCCGTCCTTCGTACGGGGTTGGCATAGAAGTATAAAATGCTTATTGCAGTTACGGGAGAGGACACGGTTTAAGGAAATTTGGTCTTTAAATTTATACGGTATCCTATAGTGTAGCACACATCTACCATAGCCCTAATGTTCTACAACTGCACCTAAACCATGGAAAAAGTAAGGTTCTCATTGTGTACCACAACTTTTTGTTGCTAGTTGGTTCAAATTAGCTGTTGTAATAAATGCAAAAAACATAATAGTGCTGCACCCTGTTGGTAAGCCTTACTTTTAATGCTATTTAATATCATAGAACCAACTTGCACAGTTGAAACGGCTGAAAGATTTCTTTTATTCCCTTAATATGAATACTTATAAGGCTAACATGAGAAAATCCAGAGCCAGAGCCACTGGGGCGGATTCTGAAAGTGTTTTTGAGGTCAGAATATGTCTATATATTAATCAGGAATGTCAGCTATCATCACACCAAATTTCAACCTTATCGGTTTAGTATTTACTTAAGTATGTATTTCTCACAAACATCCATCCATCCATCCATCAATCCATCCATACATCCATACATCCAAACTTTTTTACTTATAATATTAGTAAGTTAGGATAAGTAAACTGTTGTAATATTGCTTGTTTATGCATATATTTTTATCAAACTTGGCAAATTTCTTTCTTTCATACTAGGCCAATACTTAATATTTGCCTATAAATCACACTTTGTTACCCTCCCTGCAGGCAGCAAACCTAGGTAATCGTTAAACCTAATGTTATTGAATTAGATTTAATTGAAAATAAAGTCACACTAATGAAATTTTGCTTAGGCTGCAGGTTTGCTGCGGTGGGGGTACTATGGAATTTATATTTATGTAGAAAGAAGACATTTGTGGTCGTAGAGATTAACTCTAATTTATATAAGATACTAAATAATCCGGTTGGTCACAATTAGTAGCGCCGGTCGCTTGTTATTTGAACAGCTACTGCAAACCAGCGCTACTATTCGTATTTGCTAGCAGCTATACCCGTGCCTTGCAACGGGGTCAGTATGCAAAAGAGACAATGTTGGTTCTTTGAAAATGCCAAATGGTATCACTCCTACCATTTAATTCAGAAACAAAATATAACTGTATAACTTAACTCGATAGTAGTACGTTTTGGTTAACTAATACCGTTCATACTTATTTAGGCTACCTACGATACAAAACCAATGATAGAT